GTTGCTGGGCAGAGGGGGGTTGGGGGGGGTTATGGACATTGGGTAGGGTATGTGCTATGGTGAGTGCAGTGAAGTTTGTAAATGTGGAGATTCACAGACCTGTACCCCTGGGGGGAAAAATATGTATATATATATGTTTATAAAAAATAAAATTATAAAAAAAAAAAAAAAGGCAGACACATGGGGGAACTAATGGAGTAAGGATGAGTAAGTAAAGTTTGTTAATAGATGGTCCTGGTGTCCTCTCTAGGCTGATGAGGGTCTAGAGCTATCTCTGCTGATTAAATGCTGTCCTTGGTAGAAAGGAGAGGAGGGACACCTTTATAAATGTATGTTCTGTTTTTAGGCAAATTAGAGGGAGGGAGAGAGCCTTTCTTTATCTGCTTCTTCCCAGTTGCCTTCAGCTCAAAATAATCCTTATCCCAAAGTGGCATAATTTGGGGTGATGCTATTCTGCTACCTATCACCAGTGGAGTAGGGAAGAGGAAGGCACCTGTTCAGAAGAGAAACCAGCAAAGGGTATATTTCATTTCTAAGTTTTTCAATTTTCCTTTAAATCAGGGGTCAGTAAACTTATCCCAGAAAGGGCCAAAAAATAAATAGTTTAGGCTTCATAAGCTCTGAGATCTCTGTTGTGACTACCAACTTTGCTATTTCAGCAAAAAGCAGCCATAGACCATATGCAAAGGAGTGACGTGGCTGTGTTCCAACAAAACTTTATTTATAAAGACATGTCAAGGGCTGGATTTGACCCCAGGGCAGGACTTTGCTTGCCCTTGCTATAAATTTTAGTTCTCAGGGCTAGAATATTTCTATTTTGTGACACTTATTAGACTATAATTTTAAAATTAAGCTTTCCTTGGATTTTATTCAGCATTTGACAACCATGATTTGACTGTCCACTGTAGGCTCAGATACTGTGCAGGACGGGAGATAAGAGAGCTTAATATTCTTTACGCCAACAGATGAGCAGTTCTTTGTAGCTTCAGATACTAAATGCTATGATAAAGTGATTTGTTTGATAGGTCATTTCTATTTAAATGGTAGGGAATTGAAAACTAGACCAGAAGAGTAACTCTCAACATAGTGTAGTCTCAAACTGATAATATTAGTGCTAATATGACTTGGAACCCTGGTGCTGATTGTTCATGCCCTGTGATGGGTTCACCATGGGACTTTTGAGACATTCGTTCCTGGGGCTCAATTTCTGCATAGTTAACTTGAGTAGCAGTGCGACCTGCCTTAGACAATTGGGAATCAGACTCTGATTAGAAACTTGACTTCTCCCTGTATCCTTAGAGAACAGTTCAGTTCTGGCTCAGCTCTGGCCTATTTATGGCCTGAAAAAGAAATAGACTTGGGCCTCTATGAATCAGCCATAGAACTAAGTTGGTTCCTAAGTTTGAGATACTCCAAACCTAAATTAGGCTGCAACCAGACTTTCTGAGGAAGGAGAGAGGGTGATAAGGTGTCATGGAGAGACTGGAATTAGGGGTACCTGAGATCAGATGTTAGTCATTTCTTTGAGCTCGGAAATGCTTCTAGGCCTCATTTTACTCCTCTCTTAAACAGAGGCGTTAGATGAGCTCACATCAAATATCTTAACAGCTTCAGGTTTACATCAGTGCCATCACCTTAGAGCAGTTGTTCTCAAAGTGTGGTCGGTAGACCCCACGGTGTCCCCAGGATCCTTTTAGAAAGTTTACCAGGTCAAAACTAAGTTCACAGTGCCACTGCACCATTTTTTCACTGACATTTATTGACATCTGCACTGATGGTAGTTAGAACTGCGGGCCCTTAGCATAAGTTCAGGCCAGTGGTTAACGAGCTTGTTGGTATGTAGCTGTTCTCATAGTAGTCGTGTGCTCTCCAGCTCGCTCTCACTGTGGTTTCTGGTTTGTTTGTTTGTTTGTTTGTTTATTTTTAAAAAGATTTTATTTATTTATTTGACAAATCACAAGTAGAGAGGCCAGCAGAGAGAGAGAGGAGGAAGCAGGCTCCCCCCTAGGAGAGAGCTCGATGCAGGGCTCAATCCCAGGACCCTGGGAACATGACCCAAGCCAAAGGCAGAGGCTTTAACCCACTGAGCCACCCAGGTGCCCTGGTTTCTGTTTTTTTTAAACCAAGTTTCACCTAAGGATGTTCTTTGTGCAGCAATAAAATTATTTTATTATATCCTGATCTTTGACAATATTTCTTTTTTTGTTTTTAAGATTTTACTTATTTATTTGACAGACAGAGATCACAGGTAGGCAGAGAGGCAGGCAGAGAGAGAGGAAGGGAAGCAGGATCCCTGCTGAGCAGAGAGCCCGATGCAGAGCTTGATCCCAGGACCCTGGGACCACGACCTGAGCCAAAGGCAGAGGCTTTAACCCACTGAGCCACCCAGGTGCCCCTTGACAATATTTCTTTTTAATAATCTCTGATGTGGTAGTAAGAAGTGCTATGTGCCAAGGTGTAAAGCACAGTGACTGCCTTGAGAAAAAGTTCTTGTTTGAGTTCTGAGCTGAACTGGCCACTTTTTCTTGAAGCATCATTGTTGTTTAAAAGAATGACTGACAGACTATGGTTTTGCACACCATTTGGGTGGTTGGTGCATATTTTCTTAAAATCCGAACAAAGGAATCTGTCACTTCAAAGAAAACAACTGGAAGTATCTGCAGCTAACAGTCAGGCTAGGGCTTTCAGTAGAAAATTAGAATTTGTGGAAAAATTATATCCACACCATGAACTCGACAGCTTCTCAGTACTTTTCTGATAATATGTGTGTCCTATAACAAAATATGCCAACATTTGGAAAATCTGTGTGATTCAGTGAACAATATTTTCCAGTGCATGAAGTTTCTAAATCATTCATGAGTAAAAAGATCCATTCAAAGTCTAAGACAGAAGGTGTCTGGGTGGCTTAGTCAGTTAAGTGTCTGACTCTTGAGCTCAGCTCAGGTCTTGATCTCAGGGTCATGAGTTCAAGCCCCACATTGGGCTCCATGCTGGGTGTGAAGCCTGGTATTAATTTAATCAAATAATTAATGTGTAAGGTAAGCTAATTGACTTCAATTTGACAAGAAGTTTCATTAATAGGTTTCAGATTCCACATTGTTAGAAACTCCATTTGTCAAGTTTCGTATGGTATCAAAGAAGAAGATGGACAGTTATCTGAAAAAAACTTTATTTTTTTATTAATTAATTTATTTTAAAGACTTTATTTATTTGACAGAGAGAGAGAGAGAGCAAGCATACAAGCAGGGGGAGCAGCGGAGGGAGAGGCTCCTCACTAAGCAGGGAGCCCAATGCAAGTATCCTAGGACCCTGGGATCATGACCTGAGCCAAAGCAAATGATTAACCGACTGAGCCACCCAGGCACCCCATGAAAAAGCTTTAAAATATTCCTCCATTTTCCAGTTCTGTATCCATGTGAGAACAGATTTTTGTCATATCCTTCAATCAAAGCAGTGTATCAAAATAGTACAGAAGCAGATGTGAGAGTCCACCATGTTCTATTAACCCAGACATTTAAAAGAGATTTACAAAATATGTAACAGTGCATTTTTTTTAATTTGGAAAAATAGTTATTCATTAAAATGTTATTTATGCTAACATGTAATGGGCTTATTACTAATATTTTAAAATAAGTTAATAAATACAGATTTTTAAAATTTCTCGGTCTTAATTCCCTGGTATACATTGATAACTACGACCCTTGTTAAAGTTTTGGGATTCTCAATTTTTAAGGCTGTGAAGGTGTCCTGAGGCCACAAAGTTTGAGAATCTCAGTCTGAGGTAATTCAGCTTATGAAGAGAATCGTTGGAAGTAATAATAAAGCCCTTTTCAAATATAGAACTAGTTACCAAGCAGGAAGTGGCTGAATTTTTTTTTCTCGTGAAATGTAATGGCAGAATACAGGACATGTTTATGAATCTCCCACAACTCCCGAGCCCCTTCATCTCCTCTGCTGAGGGACAGGTGGAAGAAGTAAGACCAGCTTTGGTGGCATGGGTACTTGTGGCTGCCTTGGAGACGCTCCATCGATTTCGGGGCCATGGACCCCACTAGCTGTGGGGAGCAGCTCAGGGTCAGCAGTGTGAACAGTCTTCTTCACAAGCTGGGAGGCAGGTGGCAGAGGATCGGCTCAGCACCTGGGGTTTACAGTCAGCCCTGAGTTTGCTTCTGGGCCGTCTCTCACCCACTGCTACCTAACTGCATGACCTGTCAGGTCCCTCACATATGAAATTGGAATAATAATAATAATATCTACTCCTTGGGGGTAATTGTGAGGATATTTATATATATGTATACATATATATAATTATATTTATATATTTTTTTAAACATATATGCTCAGTTTGCGATAGCTGCTATAATTATTGTGATAATTATTCTCTTTTTGACCTTTTGGTGACTTTTGAGGCTGACTGTTTTTGTCATCCCCACGAGGCTGGCATCACGTTTTTATGGTCTGTAACTTTCTTCCCTTTTTGTAATGTGCCAACCGATACGGCATCTCCTGAGAGCAGCAGTAAGGGTAGACGCACTAAATTACCTTAGCCGAGGGGGATGGTGTTGAGTGTTTGCTCTGTCCCATGAAGCAGGATGTAGGGTAGCTGCTGCGCTTTTGTTGGTCTAGATCTAAGGATGTTTCGGGCTGGGTTTCATTGCTTGGGCTCTTACATTTGACCGTTACTTTTACAAGCACTTAGCCAAGGTGCTGTTTTGTAGGATAAGACCTTCAGACCCACAAGTACCTTGGCAGCTTTAGTGAGCTTCTGTGGTATGATTCTTTCCGCTAATGCCAAGTCAAGGTGCATGAAACCCTCTGTTCTAAAATGGGAGTTGAAGGCAGCTTCCTGTACTTAGTGAAGACAGCTATCTAGTGTAGATCTCCAGCTTCCAGTCTTTTAGGAATTTTTAGATTCCTATAGAAGAGCCATGGGAGCAGCATTTTTTGTTGTGGTTGTTTTTACATGTTTGGAACTGTGAATGTTTGTTTCTTTTCCATAGGTTGCAACAGGTTTGAAGTGACACTAGAGAAATCCAATAAAAACTTCTCCAAAAAGATTCAGCAGGTAGGCAGTGATGATGGTCACTTCAAGAATGTTTGACTTCTGTGAGACCCTGTCAAAGCTAGAACTTTGATAACATTATTTACGAACTCTGAATTCTGTGCTGTCTGTTCTCCCACTTATTAGGGATCTGAGTTCATCTGTCATGTGCCTGAGATCCTCTATAATGAGCAGAAATTGCAGTTACACATAAATATCCATCAGATCCCTGTCATTGGCCTAGACTCTTTTATTCCCTCTTTAGTACTGTTCTTAAATGAACATTTGTTAAGCCTTGTTGGAAATGTTTAATTGAGTCTAATGATTTGTTCTTTTCCAGATCCATGTGGTTTCCCAGTTTAAGATTCTGGTCAGCTTGTTAGGTAAGAAAAGGAGTTTCAGTTGTATTCCCTGTGTCAAAAAACAAAAGCTATGACTTGATTAATCACTCTTTCATGCTTAATTTGATAGACATTGAAACTGACCTGTTCCAAACCAGACATAGCAGGGTACATGGGTATTAAAGGCAAGAGTATCCTTCATAAACTTGAGCTCTGCTCTCCAAGAAATGTCATTCATTCATTCATTCATTCATTGGGCAGATATTTATTGAGCCCTGTTCTAGGCATTGGGGATACCAAATTGAATGAGACTTGGTTTCCATCTTTGAGATTTATGTTCTGATTGTGAAGACTGAAATGACAAAGTAACTTGATACAGTGTGATAAGTTAACAATAGAAATTTATAAAAAATGTTGTGGATCTTAGTAATGGGAAGGACAACATCTTCTTAGTGGATGATTAGGATTTTGGCAGGAAGAGAGAGGGAGGCAAAGCATTTTAAGCAGAGGCCTTGTGGTCTGGCCAATTTAGAATGTGTGGTAGAAAGTGGCACAGTGGCAAGAGATAGGGAGAAACAGATCAAGACCAGACTATTCAGGCCTTGGTAGAAAAGCCATAGACTCGGGGTGCCTGGGTGGCTCAGTGGCTTAAAGCCTCTTGCATTCAGCTCAGGTCATGATCCCAGGGTCCTGGGATCGAGCCCCACATCGGGCTGTCTGCACAGCAGGGAGCCTGCTTCTCCCTTTCTCTCTGCCTGCCTCTCTGCCTACTTGTGATCTCTGTCTGTCAAATAAATAAATAAAATCTTTAAAAAAGAAAAGAAAAGAAAAGCCATAGACTCAAGTGAAGGCAGCCAGCGAGGCCTTTTCTTAACAAACCGAGGACTAGAAACTTGCCTCATGCTTTGTACTGTTCAGCCCAGGGCCCAAATGGTGAAATCATTTTAAACTTAGTTTGTAGGTGGAGGGAGAAATAAAGTAACTAAACCTTCATTAGTAAAACTAGATAGGAGGCCCAAGTGAAATTATTTTGCTTGCTTTGCTAGTAAAGAAATCCTTGCCATGGGATTGTACCAAATCCACAGAGGATTTCCTTTCTTTACTGAGGCTTCCAGTGGAAGTAGTTTGGAAAGCCTGTTCTTGCACAAATATTGCATCACAAATTTCCAGACTTGAGAAAGACAGAGTATGAGAGTGCTTTGGTAGCAAAAGAGATCTTCTGCATAAGCAGCCCAAATTTAAAGGCACGAAAGTGACCTCTATCATTTTGTCATGTAATTCTGATAACAGACTGGAATAAATCATTGTTAGTGAAACCAAAGATACATCTTCAACCAACACTTGCCAATTGGTTCTTCTCTTTGTTAGTTACTTCTGTGTGTGGAGAATTGTGATAATTTATACTGTTGTTATACCTTCTTCCAAATAGAAAATAACATTTATGTCCATGACCTATTGACATTTCAACAAATCACTACGGTTTCAAAGGCAAAGGGAGCCTCACTGTTCACATGTGACCTCCAGGTAAGTGTAGACAAGATGAAAATTGACTTCGTGTTTTAATAAATATGGTCTTTCTTAATATTCCTACCATTAGGTGGGAAGAATAACATTGATATACCAACCCAGCCAGAGACTCCAGAGAAAGTGTTTGATTTTGGATTGTGTTAGAGAAATTTCCCCCTTTGTATGTGGTCAGAAGGGGAAACATTTGGGTTCCCTGTGTGTACTAATTAGAGCACCAGACATCTGTCTTGGCAGGAGGCAACTAACCCATGATAAAAGTCTTTGCCTATGGATAAATCATTAGTGGGAAAATCCAGACTTACTGGTATCATGAACATGGGACATTAAATTGACCTTGTTCTGAACAGGTGATTGTATTCTTTGTCTTAGGGGTTTTTTGGTCATTTGGGAAAGACATTTCTTCTTACTTATGCCAATTCATCATCCTTACATTATTAAGAATCTGCCTTACCCTTCTACTCAGCTTTGATCACTTTCTGGTCTTTGTGGTCTACATTGACCCTGCATTGTTTTATGCTTAGACATTTCTTTTCTCCACCCTCCTTAAAGGATTGAAAGTGGCTACTGACACATGCTGATCCCTGACCAGCATGTACTGACAGCCATGAGTGGACAAACATTTAAGAAAAAAAGGAGTAAGCGGTTACATAGGTGAAGGCCTTCCCTGGGCTTTTCCTGTGTGAATTATGAATGTCCGAGAGATTTGCCGGGGTTGGGGTCTTTGGCTGGCAGCCCTTGGAGGGGAAGTGCTCCTCAGCCTATTGTTTCTAAGAACGTCTTAGAAAAAAAATAGTGTTCTTCCACTCAATTTGTCTGGCAGGGGTACTTTATATTACAGGGGATTTTCAGTTTAGTAGCCATTTCAAGGCAGAAAATCTCAAATTTAGCTGTCACTCAGTTACAGAGTCATCACATACACCGCCTCATTTGTCCTGGGTGTCTCTTCCCAGCACACAGAGACTGGTGAGGAGGTGCTGCGGATGTGTGTCGCTGTGAAAAAGAAGCTCCAGCTCTACTTCTGGAAGGACAGGGAATTCCATGAATTGCAGGTGAAGTCCCTGTTCCCTGGTCTGTGTTGACTCACAGCTTGAAAGGCTTCCTGTTCAGTAACACTGAAAGTCTGGGCTCTGGTCTTGGAGTTCTCTCCGCATGAAGGCTCTACCGTGAGTATGTGGGAACCTATCCATGGCCACTCGTCAGAGTCTCCTGGTCTTCAGAGGCAGTGGTCATCCAGTTCTGCAGCGCTTATATGGATTGGTTTATTTCAAAGTGGGTTTCACCTTTTCTAAAGGCGTCTAGTCATCCAGTTAATGGGTGAATTAAATTTTTGTTACAAGTGGTTTCTCAGCCTTGAGCTTACAGACTTGTGCTTAGATGAGGGTGATGGAGATTTTGAAGAGTTGGGGTAGAAGAGCAGGAAAGTCACGGTTTTTTGTTTCGTTTTGTTTTTTCTTTTAATACCTTTCCATTTGAACTCTTGGTCTCTTTCTTCAGGGGGACTTTAGCGTACCAGATGTGCCCAAGTCCATGGCCTGGTGCGAAAATTCTATCTGTGTGGGTTTCAAGAGAGACTACTACCTAATAAGGGTAAAACTTATTCTTTTGCATATATCATCCATTTACTTGGGGGAGAGGATCATGTGCTTTTGAACTACAGGTCAAGAGACTGCCTTAAGTAGCGTTTTGGCATAACAGGGTTTGTGTTTGTACGTTTGGCTATTTTTTTATGCTTCTCAGCATCTCTACAAATAGATGTCTGATGCCAGGCAGCATCAACTCTCAATTCTCTACATAATGAATTATCCACATCATGTATCTAATTATTGGAAGAGATAATTAGGGCTGCTTGCCTCCATTCAATAGCATTACCAAGGACTGTCATCTTAAGGCTTTGGTGCGCCTTATAAACTAATTTTAGTATTAACTTATGAATTTTTCAGACTTTGAGTTTTCTGCACCCTCAAACCTTTTAGTATAGTTATTTTTAAAACTTTATTTTTTTTTATTTCAAAAGCCACATATGTTAATATAAAAAAATAAGGAAATATATAGGTAAGCAAAATAAAGGAAGTACAAATCACCCATAAATCCTTCACTCAGAAATGATTACTGTTAACCTTTTGGTAGATGAGCTTCCACCTGTTTACAAAAATAGCATGTTATACACATTGTTTTATAATCTGTTTTTCTGAACCTAAGTGGTAAATATCCATGACATTGGTTTTTTTTCCTCCATTATGCGTACTGTATGTAGAATAGGTTGATATACCATTCATTTCATAGCATAATCCAAATTTCTTATCCCTCTCATATTCCAGACTTGGCAGTTCTAGAAGCCTTTCTCCCCCATCTCCATTTTTCCCCACTTTCCTACCACCCACTGTGTTAGCTCTTCATTATTTATCTAGTTAACATATTTGTTCCATATTTATACTGTTGACTGTCCTGGTTTGATCAGCCTCAGAGTTGCAAACTGGTAGAGGAGTTGCCCGCATCCAGCTGATGGATGCGCAGAGTAGCAGCTAGGCCTGTGGGTGCTGAAAGAAGTCTGTGAGGGCTGGGGATACAGAGCCAGAAGCTGGAGGGTAGGCTCTCATTACTCTGACTACCTTTCCTCTTCTTGAGGGTACACTCTTTTGAGGGTGGGAAATCTTGGGTTAGGCCCAAGCTATTCAAAAATTACTCATTTAGATCAGACAGTAAAATTCATTCTTTCGGATGTATGGTTCTAACATGGTTAGAGTCATGTAACCACCACCACAATCAAGATTGAGAGCAGTTCCATCACCCAAAAAATGTCTATTCTGCCCCCTTGAAGTCAACCCCTTTTCCTATGCCCCAACTTCTAGTAATCACTGATCTGTTCTTCATCTCTTATAGTTTTGCCTTTTCCAGAATGTCATATAAATGGAATCCTACAGTATGTAGCCTTTTGAATATGGCTTCTTCCACTTAGCATAATGCATTTGACATCCATCTGTATTGTGCGTGTCATCATATTCTTTATGGCTGGGTAGTGAGTGGACCATAGTATGGATGTACTATGGTCATTTATCCATTCATCGGTTGAAGGACAAAGTTGTTCCCAGTTTTTAGCCATTATGAATAAAGCTGCGATAAACACTTACATACAGGTCTTGGTGTAAACATAAGTTTTCATTTCTCTTGAGCAAGTGCCCAAGGAATGGGATTATTGGGTTGGATGGTAAGTATACATTTCACCTTAGAAGAAGCCAGCAAACAAAATGGCCGTACCATTTTGCATTCTCACCAGCAGCGAATGAGAGTTCCAGTTGCTCTGCATCCTCACCAGCACTTGACATTGTTAGTTGCCAGCCTAGATGCTTGTCTCTGTGTTAGAGAAAAAGAGAACTGGTTCTATGTTGTGATGACAAAATTTGTCATAACAAACTCTATAATATTTCCTTATGCCAAACAAGGAATATTATTGGCTTCTGTAGGCTCAGGGTTTTATTTGGATTTTTTAGGCTTTGTTCACTCCTCTGGTGAGAGAATGCTGGTTGACTCATTTTTTGTCTTCCTATAGGTGGATGGAAAAGGGTCCATCAAAGAGCTCTTTCCAACAGGAAAACAGCTGGAACCGTTAGTTGCACCTCTGGCAGATGGAAAAGTGGCTGTGGGCCAGGATGATCTCACCGTGGTGCTCAATGAGGAGGGGATCTGCACTCAGAAATGTGCCTTGAACTGGACAGACATACCAGTGGCCATGGGTGAGAGCACCATAGCAGCTGCTTCCCACTCTGGGCTGGGGTTATGTGCCATCCTTGCAGAAGGGAATCCCATTCATGTCTTTCACAGACTGTGGTTTACATTGTCATTTACTCTCAGTTCCCCTTCTTAGAAGTAGACAAGTGTTTAAGGTCATTAAAAATGGGATATTCTGGTCTTTGTAAGAAGCCAGGTTTTGTCCCAGAGGGGGAGAAATTTAAAACAGAGTTATGTGTTTTAGGAAGTGATTGTCTGTTGCCATATATTTTTATTTCTTAGTCCTTGTTTTACTTTCTGTGTAATGGTTTTAATGTGTCCTCTGCCAGATCAACTACATTTGGAAATTAGTGACAATTCTTTATTTATCACTGTAGTACATGTAACTCAGTATTGATGTGCTTTTGACTTGGTGGGTATTGCTTCTTTTTTGTAGCTTGGAAGTGCAGATTGCGTTTAGATGTCAGGCTCTGGCCTGCATATTAGGTATTTCTGCTCTCACCCTGCCCCAGGCTCTCAGCAGTGGTATTGCCTGGAAGTGTATAACCACCCTCACAGCAATTCATTTTCAGTCAAAGGAGTGAGCATTTTAAAAATAGTTACTGCTGTGGAGTGGGGCATAGAGACATGCCATCTTTAAGGACTCTAGCTGGGCAGGTAAGGATAACATCTTGGATAAAAAGAGAAAACAAGGCATTGCTCAAGGTGTTCAGTTGGATGAGTTGAGATTCAGTCATTTAGAAAGTTCAACTTGCCAGTAAGAAGTTCCATTGCATAATTAAGGTTGGACTAGACCAGGCAGGGAGTTTATGACTTGGCTTGAAGAAAAATTCCTTTCATTCTAGGCAGAAAAAAATAGTTAAAAATAGTTAAAAATGATTGGAAATGTTCCTTTTTGACAGAACATTAGAGAGACTGACCTGGTTGAAACAGGTGTTCTGAATTACAGAGGAATAAGGGTAGGGCTGGTTTTTAGAGGCCCATGCAAAGGTCAGAGAGACCAGTAGATTCCTAACTGGTAGAATGTTTTGGTAAAAGCATCATGTTCTAGAGTAATTATTCTGGTTGTGTTCATTGATGAACAGATCAGGAGGAAGATAATCAAAAGGACAATATTTTGTAAGGCCCAAGATTATGTATATGAACAAGTTTGAGGGGCTAAAAACTTCATGAGAAGCTTTGTGGTGTTCTGGGGGGTGCTTGTGTTCCCTTCAGAAGAGGGGCTATGGTAGAATTGATGAAGATATGTGTAATACGTGTGAAGAGTATGCTTCTCATTCCCTAGTGTGAGAGTTTCTGTTTTAAAATCTTTGTCAGTGTCCAGTGCCTTTGGCAGTGTGTCTTAAAAATATTTCTGTGCCTTAACATACTGAGGAAGGGAAGAGCTGGGCATTCTTTCTAGGTAGGGTGGGAGAACCACCATCTGACAGGACGAAGACTAAACTTCTTCAGTGGTGTGCATGTTAAACTTCATTTATACTTCTCTCAATTTTACCACTTCACCTGGACTCCAGTCGTCTTGGACTGCCCCTCATCCAGCCATGATCCCCTGGGCTCTTCTTGCCTCTCCCTCTCTTCTCTTGCCTGCAATGTCCTGCTCACATGACAAGGCCCTGTTCAGTGGCACTTCCTCTCTGAAGTCTTCTGACGTGCAGGCAGAATGAATCACTTCCCCCTTGGTGCTTCCAAAGCCCTTTCGGGTTTATTTCTTTGACAGAGACAGATCAGAAGTAGGCAGAGAGGAAGGCAGAGAGAGGAGGAAGCAAGCTCCCTGCTGAGCAGAGAGCCCAATGTGGGACTCAATCCCAGGACCCTGAGATCATGACCCTAGCCGAAGGCAGAGGCTTTAACCCACTGAGCCACCCAGACGCCCCGGATTATACTAGTTTTTAAAAATGAGACCAGCATTAAAAGAGAAGTAAAAAAATCCAATGCAAAGCAAGTTTTTAAATTTTTTGATAATATGAAAAAGATTAGCACAGTAGTAGCAATAGTGATGAAAATATTAGGCCAGTTCCCTTCTGGCTTTAAAATTTTTATGGTATTTAGAGTATAAACTGTATTAATGTGGAAAACTTTTTGTCAGAAAATACATGACAGAAATAAATCCGTAGCACATTAGCCACAAGAAGAAACTCTTTGAGTGTTTGAGGTTAAATTTCTATATGATTATTATGCCATCTAGTGGTTGATTTTTTACTTTTTTTCTTTTCTTTTAAAAATTTTCTATTTTAATTGTAAAAAAATAAATAAATAAAATCTGTCATCTTAAGTGTACAGTATTTTTTAAGTGTACAGTTCAGTAGTTACATATATTCACATTGTCATGCAACAGATTTCAGAACTTTCTCGTCTTGCAACAGTAGAAGTCCGTATCTATTAACCATTTTCTCCCTCCTTCAGCTCCCAACTTTCAGCTCTAAGTTTCAGAACTTTCTCATCTTGCAACAGTAAAAGTCTGTATCTATTAACAACCCTTTTCTCCCTCCCCTAGCCCTTGGGGCCAACCATTCTACTTTCTGTTTCTGTGATTCACACTCCAGAGACCTCGTGTAAGTGGTAGAAAACTGGCACACTAAGAAGGCCAGCCAGTTGCTTTCTTTGGGAATCACAAAGGTGGAGTTTTGCATCTTTTCCCTCTGAAAATCTGAAGCAGAAATAACCTTGGCCAGAAATGTGGAACTCTCTTTAGCCTCATTTTAGGGAAGAAAGAAGTTGCCTTCATCTTGTCCTTCTCATGTAACCTTCTCCCCCTGATGCATTGTTAGGGGCAGCTGGACTTTGTTGGCTTGGTTTTGTGACTGATGAGAAAGGGAGCAGCTGAAGGTTTCACCCAGTCCTTTGGAGGAGATGGTCGGAATGGGATCAGGTCACTCTCAGCAAAGCTGAATGCATCCTTCTTGTGCACAAGATTCTTCTTAGGGTCACTTGGACAAAACAAATTTTTTTTCCCTTTGGATATCACAGCATGGGATCCTGGCTTGGTATTTGAGTAGTGGACTATTTAGAGATCTCATCTGAATGCAGCATAGAAATGAGAAACTGAAGCAGCGCATAAACCTAAAGCCTGAGACCAGATCCACACCTGGAAGTGTTCTTTTCTTGTGCAGAGCACCAGCCTCCCTACATCATTGCCGTTTTGCCTCGATATGTGGAGATCCGAACATTTGAGCCAAGGCTTCTGGTCCAGAGCATTGAACTACAAAGGCCCCGCTTCATTACCTCAGGAGGGTAAGGAATTTCCTTTTTTACTGTAGTTGCCATATTATTGCAAAGCTTTAAAATCATAAAGCCTGTGCTAAAGCTTTGCTAATATCCTTATTCCTTCCTCCAGATCAAATATTATCTACGTGGCCAGCAATCATTTTGTTTGGAGACTCATTCCTGTCCCCATGGCAACCCAAATCCAACAGCTTCTCCAGGACAAGCAGTTTGAATTGGCTCTCCAGCTTGCAGTAAGTATTATTCCTGAGATTTGGATGCAAGTCTGCCTTCCTCATTGTTCTCCAAAGCAAGTGCTTTGGGTTTAGATGGTTATATTTAGTTTGGATTGGTAGAATAAGCACAGAGCTACAAGTTAAGGGACTTAGATTCAGGGTCTGACTTAGCCATAGAATATCTATGTAACTCTAAATAAATTTCACTTTTTCAGATGGCTTATCGGTCAGATGTAGAATGAATGCCAGTTAACAATAATAATAACTCCTAGAATTTAGAAGACAATAAAGTAATTTAATAGATATGGTGTAGCCTTGAAAAATTAGACCATGCAAGTATTTAACAGTCATAATGTAAGATTATAGTCTGATTGAATGCAACAACTAGAGGGCTTTTCACAATTCCTTTCAGCAGTAGATCCCAGGGTCTTTGGATAAGCAGGCCTCCTTCAGGTTTCTGAAACCAGCTTGAGTTGCTGCATTCAGTAGGGCTGCACTCTTATATTTATGGCTGCCACTCTTCCCTGAACGTTAGCACCAGGTATTGTTCACAGCCATAGTGCCCATGCTTTTGCTTTTGCGGTTCTCTCATTGCCAACACACTCCGTGGAGACTGACTTCTGAGACTTGTCTTATTCTCTTAAATATTCCCAGTGGTGATTATTGTCTGTAGAGAGTAGATTTGATTTTAGGAAACAACCAAGGTCATTCTGATCCTAGACCTTTAAACTGGACAGTGCTAGTTTAGTGAAAGAGAAGAGATTTTTATGAATTTAAAAAGCTTAGTTTTGAGAGTATCTTGTAAATTATTTCTGAAGGGAAAGCAGTGGTCACAAGTTTTGGAATTTATAGTCACATGTGATAGATATTTTTTTTAAAAAAATATTTTGTTTATTTGACAGATAGAGATCACAAGTAGGCAGAGAGGCAGGCAGAGAGAGAGAGAGGGGAGGAAGCAGGCTCCCCAATGAGCAGAGAGCCGGATGTGAGGCTCGATCCCAGGACCCTGGGATCATGACCCAAGCCGAAGGGAGAGGCTTTAACCCACTGAGCCACCCAGACGCCCCATGTGATAGATACTTTTGAAGGGCAACATTTATCTTGGATGTATACATTTTGGATTTAAAACAAAAATCCAGTCTGAATAGTTAGAGATGTTTAGTATCCCAGAAAGATTGTTTTTTTTTTCCCTTGGGGTATTTAATTTCAGCATCTGACTACTTTATTTCTATTTTTTTGCCACTTTTAAATTGCCCTCCATTATTTTGTCCCTCCATTATTTTGTTTTCATTTTTAAAATACTAGATTTTAATCTTTTTTTAATTTAATAATCTAATATGGTGAGCCCACCATCCTACCCAAGAAAAACAGCTTCCATAACTTACACGTACCTCCCCATCTCATTCTTCTGCCTCCTCTCCAGACACACCATTATCCTAAATTTGTGTTTATTGTGCCCTTTAAAAATATATTTCTTGTTGAAAAAATCTCAAATTAACAACCTAACCTTATACCTAAAGGAGCTAGAAGAAGAATAAACAAAACTCCGAACCAGCAGAATGCAGGAAATAATAAAGATTAGAGCAGAAATAAGTGAAATAGAAACAAAACAAAACAGTAGAACAAATTAATGAAACTAGGAGCTAGTTCTTTGAAAAGATCAGAGAGGACTCAAACAAAATTATAAATGAGAGGAGAAATTGACAGCCCAGAAATATAAAAAGGATTATAAGAGAATACTATGAAAAATTGTATACCAACAAATTGGACAACCTAGAAATATAAATAAATTCCTAGAAGCAGATAACCTCCCAAAACTGAATCAAGAAGAAATAGAAAATTTGAACAGACTGATTACCAACAATGAAATTGAATCAATAATCAAAAAACTTCCAAAAATCAAAGTCCAGGACCAGACAGCTTCACAGTGAATTCTACCAAACATTTAAAAAAGAGATAATGCCTATTCTTCTCAAACTGTTCCAGAAAATAGAAGAGGAAGGAAAGCTTCCAAATTCCTTTTATGAGGCCAGTATTACCCTGATACTGAAACCAGATAAAGATACTACAAAAATAAAAGAACTATAGTATCCCTGGGTCAATGTCCTTGATGAACACAGATGCAGAAATCCTCAATAAAGTACTACCTAACTAAATCCAGCAGTACATTAAAAAAAAAACATTAACCATAATCAGGTGGGATTCCTTCCTGGGTTACAAGGGCGGTTCAGTATTTGCAAATCAATCAGGTGGTACATCCCACCAATAAGAGAAAGGATAAGAACCAGGATGATCATTTCATTAGGCACAGAAAAAAGTGTTTGACAAAGTAAAACATCCATTCATGATTAAACAGAAAACAAAAAACCTCAACAAAGTAGGTTTAGAGGCAATATACCTCAACATAATAAGGGCCGTATATGAAAAACCCATAGCAAATATCATCCTAACTGGGGAAAACTGAGAACCTTTCCCCTAAGGTCAGGAATAAGACAAGGATGTCCACTCCACCACTTTTATTCAGCATAGTACTGGAAGTCCTAGCCACAGCAGTTAGACAACAAAAAGAAATAAAGACATCCAGAACAGCAAGGAAGAAGTTAAACTTTCATTATTTGCAGATGAGATGATACTCTATAGAGAGAAACCTGAAAGACTCCACTAGAAAACTGATAGAAGTATAAACCAATTCAGTAAAGTTGCAGAATACAAAATACAGAAATCTGTGACATTTCCTTACCCTACCAAAGAAATAGGGGAAAGAGAAATTAAGAAAACAATCCCATTTACAATTGCACCAAGAAGAATAAAATACCTAGGAATAAACTTACCCAAGGAGGTGAAAGACCTGTACTCTGAAAACACCGTTGAAAGAAATTGAAGATGACACAAATGGAAGAATTAATATTGTTAAAATGTCCATACAAACAATTTATTAAATCAATGCAGTCCCTATCAAAATGCCTGTGGCATTTTTCACTAAACTAGAACAGTGCTAAAATTTGTATGTAACCCACAAAAGACCCTAACTAGCCAAAACAATCTTGAGAAAGAAAAACAAAGCTGGAGGGGAGGTATCACAATGCCAGATTTCAAGATACACTGGAAAGCTGTGATAAAACAGTATGGGGGGAAAAAAAAAACCAGTATGGTACGAGCACAAAAATAGACACATAGATCAATGGAGCAAAATAGAGCTGCCAGAAATAAACCCAGGATCAGATGGCCAATTAATATGTGACAAAGGAGGCAAGAATATGCAATGGGTAAAAAACAGTCTCTTCAACAAATGATATTGGGGAAACTGGACAGCAATAAGCAAAAGAATGAAACTGGATCACTTTATTACACCACACACAAAAATAAAATAGATTAAAGACCTAAATGTGAGACTTGAAACCATAAAAATAATAGAAGAGAACACAGGCAGTAAAATCTCTTATACGGGCCATAACAACATTTTTCTCAGGCAAGGGAAACAAACGCGAAAATAAAGTATTGGGACTACATCAAAATAAAAAGCTTCTGCACAGCAAAGGAAACCACCAACAAAACTAAAAGTCAATCTATGACTGAATGGGAGAAGATATTTACAAATGACATATTCATTGAAGGTTTAGTGTCCAAAATACATAAAGAACTTACACAACTCAGCATCCAAAAAAATAAAGAATCCAACTACAAAACAGGCAAAAGGCATGAACAGACATTTCTCCAAAGAAGACATACAGATGGCCAACAGACACATGGAAAACTGCTCAATATCACTCATCGTCAGGGAATCACAAACCAAAAACCATAGTGAGACATCACCTCACACCTGTCAGAATGGCTAAAATAAAAAACACAAGGAACAAGTGTTGGCAAGCATGTGGAGAAAAAGGAACCCTTGTGAAATATTGGTGGGAATGCAACAGTTGGGAATATACATGAAATTTTCAGAGGGCAAGTACATATTAAACTTTGCCATTGACAAAATGTGGAGGCAAATTTTAGCCAGGGGACAGTTCCCTGTGGACTGGACAAGACATCCCACTGTTGGTCCCTTTCTGAATAGGTGAGATCAGGATCAGGTAGGGAAACAGGGAACATAAGAAGAAGCTAAAGAAGTGAAAACAAGTGTAGAAATGGCATGGAGTCCATCCTAACTGGAGTGAAGGGTAATGCTTGAGTGTCTGGGAATAAGCTAGAGAAGGAGGCTGTGCTGGATTCTGAAAGCCTGCAAAGCACCAAGAGGACTTAGACTGGATGCGACCATGTGTTGATTGTGGTCTAGGGGAAAACTGGAAAGACATTTTGAAGGAAGAAATTCAATGTAGTAAAGAGTGGTTTAAAAGAATTTAAGGGGAATAAAGGTTATGGAAGAAACAAAGATAATAAATAGCTGCATTAATTTAGCTCTTACTATGAACTGGACCTTTCCCAGCTGTGCCAGCAACATTAAATCCCCTTCATTCCTTGAGTATGCCATGTTCCCTCTGTCACCTTAGCGCCTTGCACGTGTGATGTCCTTTTCCCTTCCATCTGTTCTGGACTCTCCTGGTTAACTCCAGCTCGGCCTTACACCCCAGGCTATTCTTCTTGCTTCCTTCTCGCATCCACTGCTCAGACTAGATTGGGTACCTCTCCCAATTGCTTCTGTCCTCGCTCACCCTATTTTAGTTTTGACTTTTTCATGTTTTTAAAGTGAACTCTAGACTTTATTCAGATTTCACTGGTTTTTCCATTAATGCCCCTTTTCTGTTCCAGTTTCAAATCCTGAAATTACATTGTATTTAATTGTTGTGTGTCCTTAGTGTCCTCTGATTGTGACATCATTCTTCTGTTGTTTTTCATGACCTTGACAGTTTTTTTCAGGAGGACTGCCGAGGTATTTTGTAGAAACCCTGTTGCATTTTAATTGCAGAGTTTCTTCTCAGTCTTGTGGTTAGAATGTCGGGACAAGTCTATGAGGGCCGGTGCCATGTGGTTTGTCTTGTAAACTTGGGCATGCAGATCTCCTAAGATGTTGTCTGATACGTAGTATATACTGATATACTGATATACGTAGTATATACTGATAAATATTTGTTGAGTGAGTGAGCTCTTACCTATTCTGCCCTCTCACTAGGAAATGAAAGATGATTCCGACAGTGAAAAGCAGCAGCAGATCCATCACATCAAGAACTTGTATGCCTTCTACCTCTTCTGCCAGAAGCGTTTTGATGAGTCCATGCAGGTCTTTGCTAAGCTTGGCACAGGTAACACATGGATTTGGCCTTGGTTGGAATTCATGGAGGGAGGGGAACCTGGAAAGGACAGGAGAGATAGTACTAAACATCTGAGATCGGGGAAAGTTTCTGCTCATCTTTTGATCATCGTGCCTCACAAGATCCTGTGGGTGGCCACAGTGTTACGTATTTACAGTCCGCATCTTGCGCACCTGATCTCATCCATAAACAGACTTCCAGTATCCCTTTCTTTATTTACAGTAGAGAGGCTAGATCTCTTTCCAGTGGCTAGAATATTCATTACATGGCACCCAGGGCACTCTTATGTACATATATCAAGGTGCAGGCATTTTTGATATGAGGCCTTGATTGAAGGTGTTCCTGCAAAAACCTTCTATTCTATAATTAATATTCATGGGAAATAACAGCTTATTGGAAGAGTGAGGTTGGGGCAGACCACTCCAGACATAGGCAGCATTGTAAGTGGAACACTAATGAAAACAATAGCAATCCTACTAACACTCAATTCCCACTACTGTTGGTACTCAACACAGGCTGTGCTTTGCAGTCCTGAACCCCGGGGCGATGCTTTCTCCTTTGAGATACAAATCTTTGAGAATATTTGCTTCCAATAGAAACCAGTCTCATCAAAATAAAAAGTCTGATCCTGGGTATAGACTTCTTTATGAGACCCGCTACCAAAAATGAATATGGGGAAACATCTTTGCTTTATTTTTACTCTCAGGCTTTTCCAGGTGGTTTAACTTAATAGAAAGTATAGTGCGTTTTGAAGCTGCTAAACCAGCCACTCCTCTTTTCTTTAGGTCCCCTGTATAGTTACTGAGGAACCTTGCCTGGTCACTTTAAAACATTAACAAACTGGGCAAATTTGCATACAAATCAACACCACTTTTTTTTTCTTTTTAAGATTTTATTTACTGGAGAGACTACAGAGCACACAGAGAGCACAGAGGGAAAGGGAGAAGCAGACTCCTCACTGAGCAGGGAGCCTGATGCAGGGGTTACATCCCAGGACCCTGGGATAATGACCTGAGCCCAAGGCAGACGCTTACCACACTGAGCCACCCAGGCACCCCAGTTTTTATATTTCTTGAAACCCATATTTAGATCTTGAAATTGAGCCTTAGACTATTGAATTTGTTCAGATACTATATTCATTACTTACTTAGTCAATAAAAATTTTATCAAGCTTCTACCATGCGTTGGAGACTATTCCTGGGTACCAAGTAGTGGGACGTATATTCTGTTGGAGATGGGGCAGACAGCCAAATAAATGAGCAAATTTATAATATATTGGAACGTGGTAAGCTCTAAGAAAAGTAAAGCAGGGAAATGGGGATAAGGAGTACTGAAGATAGGTATTAGGATTATAATTTAAGATAAAATAGGGAAGGCATCTCTGAGAAGTTAGGGCCTAAAGGAGGCTATTTAATGAACCGGGCAGTTGTCTGGGCAGGTGCAGGGCAGGTAGAAGGAATGGCTGGTGGCAATGTGGTCTCTTCCAGGAGCAGCCAGATCCATGTGGCTAGAGAAAAGTTGATCTGTATCCTTTGTTCTACATAAGGAATATAATCCCATTGTGAATTGCCTGTCTCTTTACTGAGAATTCAATGTGTGGCATAATCTGGACTCAGTGAACATCGGCCCAAAGGCAAATCAGATAAGCGATGGCAGTGGCAGCTGTATCTTTGATTCCAGGCTTCAAGGATAAATAAGACATGTTGTTTGTCCACAAGGCGCTTACACATAAAACCACTCAGTGAAACATGGGAATAAATGTCTCCAGGATTGTGGAGAATTAAGTCAGGAGTCTCAAGAGGCAGTGACCGGGCTCTGGAAGATAGAAGAAAAAGCAGAGTGTAAAGGAAGGTGGGCGGGAAGAGACACCCAGTGGTGGCTGAGGGTCTGTAAGCCATAGCCCAGTGTGATGATGGTGGTGCTTGATAGATCGCATGGGAAAGAGATGTTGGGTCTGAATCCTAGAGGACCTTGAATGCTGCCAGGGAATTTGGACTTTGTATTGTAGGCTTCAGGTGACATCACAGGTTTTAAGTAGAGCGATGTGATTAGAGCCTTGTCTGTAGACAAGCACCGTGGTGCGGGAAGCCGCCAAAGGGCAGCAGATGCGCTCCGGGTCCCCAGTGGTTATCTGTGTTCCTCAGACTGCGCTTCTGTGCGGGAGCCACGCGGAATTGCCATCGACCCCATTCGGTTGCTGTTTCTCAGGAGTGTCTCTTTCACATTATCTCAGGTTTTGAGGAACACAGTCTTTCTGGCTTGGCAGAAATACTGTGGTCAGACACCGGTTTCTTGGGCATGATGTGCATTCTGGAGGCTTCAGGGCAAGGCTGGGTAGCATTTCTCTTCTGGTCTGCTTGTCTGGAGCTCAGCTCCTTCTAGGACATGGCCTTCTCCTGGTCCCCCAACTTTTTTTTTTTTTTAATTTGAATGAAAATAATGTTAGGATGAAACATTAAAGTGTTAAAGGAAAAAAAACCTTACTCTAGATCTAGCCTTGATTCTAGTTTTGTGTCTTTTTCATCCAAGCTTTTCCCACATGTGTACACCTCAGTGTAATTATAACAGTATTCATTTTAATAGTTTTTGTTACTTAAAATTATTAGTGTTTTTCCATGTTGCTGTGTGCCCTTCATAATTAAAATTTGTAATGATTGCATTATTGTCTCTTAGTTGACCATAGACTATAGTTCTGCTGCTGAAGGAATTCCACATTGTTTCCAGAACTGCATTGTTACAAATAATGTTCCTTATGTGACCTGCTCATTCAGATGTGTCTTCCCCCTCCCATCTTTTAGACTGTTTCCTTAGGGTAAACTCCTAGAAGTGATTGGTGGGCCCAAGTGCTTTTCTCCTTATTGAAGTAGCAGTATTTTTTGCCTTGGCATTGTAAGAGTGATTCAGTTTCATAATATAGCAAGCCCTGGGTAGTATCATATAAACATTTTTCTACAGACGTTACTCTTTAATGTACTGCTCTAATTCTTAATGTAGCAGAACGTTTTCCCACTTATTTATATTATTTTCTTGTCAGTTGTTTATGTCTTTTGCCTCTTTATCATATGAAATCCCTTTTTTTTCCAACTTACATTTTATATAATTAATTTATTAGCTTCTTGCCATGTATCTAGCAAATATATATGCCCTAGTCCATTGTCTGGCTTTGTTTTAGTAATAATAATTTGTTTTAGTAATATTCTTTTCTTTATATACAATTCTTTTATATTTAAGGCTATTGATTATTCAACTTTAATGTCTTAGCAGTTTTTCCTTGGGGAATTTTTTCTTCTCCACTTCTAGAGAATTCATGAATTTTCCATTCCAATTCTGGATATGTGTATGTGTGTATGCCTTGGAATATAGAGTCTAAACCATTTTTGTGATGGTTTAGAGAAATACACATGTTATTAGTGCTCAAATTGTAGAAGTGTAGAGCTCATTGACTCTTTATGAACGTGGAGTCATTTAATTAAAAAAATGAGTCTGAGGGTGCCTGGCTGGCTGAGTTGATAGAATATGTGACCCTTGATCTCGGAGTTGTGAGTTTGAGCCTCGTGTTCGGTATAGAGATTACTTAAAAAATAAAAAAGATCTTAAAAAAAATTAGTATGGAACTTATTTTGCTGTTACAATAGTCTTGTTTTATTTGATCCTTAAATTGCTGTGCTCCTTTCTGGGGAATCGTGTTTCCCTTTCATGTAGATCCTACCCATGTGATGGGCCTGTACCCGGACCTGCTGCCCACAGACTACAGGAAGCAGCTGCAGTACCCTAACCCTCTGCCTGGGCTCTCGGGGGCTGAGTTGGAGAAGGCACACTTAGCTCTGATTGACTACCTGACACAGGTAGGTATGGTACAGGGCTGTGTGGAAGAGTTCACCTGGGAGTTCCGGTGCCTGCTTTTCTATGGCAGGGAAGGGTGGGTCTTCTCCGATTCCACAGGCATTCTGTAAATTAATGCCTTAGATGTTACGGCGGGCTGGGCGCGTTTCTTTCTTCTTCATCTCCCTACTCAGTTATACCACTGAGCTTTGATGCTAAATCTTGATAGCAAGAAATGTACCTGATTTCTGGCCAATTTACATGACGCTCTCCTAGGAACTCAGAAGAAGAAATTTTAGTGGATAGAAAATAATCAGTTTTTTGAAACACTCTTTTGGAACATACATACTTATGGGAAAATACATGCTTTATGCAGGAAACCGGGCAAACACAAAAAAGTATATAGCAAAAGTGTAAAAAAAAAAAAAAAAAAAAAAAGTAAATAAATCTCTTGTAACCCTATCACCCAGAGAAAAGTAACCAACATTATAGTTTGTCCTTCTAGACCTTTGGACGCATACCTCCTTTATTGTGCTTCACAGATGCTGCTTTTTTTTTTTTAAACAAATTGAAGTGAGCAAGTCTTTTGGAATCATTTTCCCAACAGCATTTACTTACTTGGTGTCTTTGTCACGTTTTGGTAATTCTCACATCATTTCAAGCTTTTTCATAATTAATGAATTTATTTTTGTGATCTGTGATCTTTGATGTCACTATTGTAATTGTTTTGAGATGCCACCAGCTATTCCCATATAAGATAGCAAATTTAATAAAATGTCTGTGTTCTGACTACTTTACCAGCTGGCTGTTCCCCTGCCTCGCCTGCTCTTTGGGTTTCCCTACTCCCTGAGACACAATAATACTGAAATTAAGTCTATTAATAACCCTACAATGGCTTCTAAGTGTTTCAAGTAAAAGGAAGAATCGCTGTTTCTCACTTTTTTTTTTTTTTTATTTTATTCACTTATTTGACAGAGAGAGAGATCACAGGTAGGCAGAGAGGCAGGCAGAGAGAGAGGGGGAAGCAGGCTTCCCACTGAGCAGAGAGCCCGATTCGGGGCTTGATCCCAGGACCCTGGGATCATGACCTGAGCTGAAGTCAGAGGCTTAACCCACTGAGCCACACAGGTGCCCCTGTTTCTCACTTTAAATCAAAAGTAAAGATAATTAAACTTAGCGAGAAAGACATGTCAAAAGCCAGGATAGGCCAAAATCTAGGCCTCTTGTGCCAAGTTGTGAATGCAAAGGAAAAATTCTTTTTTTTTTTAAGATTTTATTTATTTATTTGACAGACAGAGATCACAAGTAGGCAGAGAGGCAGGCAGAGAGAGAGAGGGTGAAGCAGGCTCCATGCTGAGCAGAGAGCCCGATGTGGGGCTCGATCCCAGGACCCTGGGATTATGACCTGAGCTGAAGGCAAAGCCTTTAACCCAATGAGCCACCCAGGCCCCCCCGGCAAAGGAAAAATTCTTGAAGGAAATTAAAACTGCTACAGCAGTGAACATGAATAAGAAAGCAAAATAGCCTATTGCTGATTTGGAGACAGTTTTACTGGTTTGGATAGAAATCAAACCAGCCACAACATTCCCTTTCCCCAAAGCCTAATCCAGAGCAAGGCCCTAACTCTCTTCAAATCTGTGAAGGCTGAGAGGGGTGAGGAAGCTGCAGAGGAAAAGTTGGAAGCTAGCAGAGGTTGGGTTCATGAGGTTTAAGAAGGAGGCATCTTCGTGACATAAAGTACAAGGTGAAGTGCTAAGTGCTGATGGAGAAGCTGCAGTAAGTTCTCCAGGAGATCTCGGTGAGATTGTTCATGAACGTGGCTCCACTCAACAACAGGTCTTCAGTATAGATGAAGCAGCCTTCTATTGGAAGGAAATGCAAACTAGGACTTTCATAGCCAGAGAGGAGAAGTCCGTGTGTGGGTTCAAAGCTTTTAAGGACAGGCTGACTCTTCTTAGGGGCTAATGCCGCTGGTGACTTAAAGTTGGAGCAATGCTCTTTGACCACTTCGAAAATTCTAGGGCCCTTAAGAATGATGCTACACACCTGCCCTGCCAGTGCTCAGTAAATGGAACAACAAAGCCCAGATGACAGCACGCCTGTTCATAACATAGTTTACTGAACATTTTAAGCCCCCTGTTGAGACCTGCAGCTCAGAAAAAAAGATTCCGGGACGCCTGGGTGGCTCAGTTGGTTAAGCAGCTGCCTTTGGCTCAGGTCGTGATCACAGTGTCCTGGGATCGAGTCCCACATCGGGCTCCTTGCTCGTCAGGGAGCCTGCTTCTCCCTCTGCCTCTGCCTGCCATTCTGTCTGCCTGTGCTCGCTCTCTCTCCCTCTCTCTCTCTGACAAATAAATAAATAAAATCTTAAAAAAAAAAAGATAAAAAAAAAAAAAGATTCCTTTCAAAATATGACTGCTCACTGGCAATGCACGTGGTCACCCATGGGCTCTGATGGAGATGTACAGTAAGATTAATGTTGTTTTCATACTAACACAGCATCTTTACTGCAGCCCATGGATCAAGAAATACTTTTAACTTTCAAGTCTTCTTTATGAAATACATTTCACAAGCCTCTAGCAGCTATAGATAATGATTCCTCCATACCTGGGGAAAGTAAATTAAAAAAAAAATAAATGAAAAATCTGGAAAGGATTCATTATTCTACATCCTATTAAGAACACTCATGATTCATGGGAAGAGGTCAGAATATCAACATGAACAGGAATTTGGAAGAAGTTGATTCCAGCCCTCAAGGATGTCTTTGAGGGGCTCAAGACCTCAGTGAAAGAAGTAACTGGGATGCGTTGGGAATAGCGAGAGAACTCGGTGAGAAGTGGAGCCTGAAGACATTAGTGACTTGCTGCCAACTCATGAAAAACTCATGGATGAGCGAAGGAAGTGGTTTCTTGAGATGGAATCTCAAGAATCTACTCCTGGCCAAACTGTTGAAATGACAACAAAGGATTTAGAATACTCCTTAAGCATAGTTAGTAAAGCAGTGGCAGCTTTACTGAGAGGATGGACTCCAGTTTTGAAAGAAGTTCCGTGGTAAAATGCTATCAGCATCACATGCTACAGAGAAATCATTCATAAAAGGAAGAGTCCGTTGATGTGGCATACTTCATTGTTGTCTTATTTTAAGAAATTGCCACAGCCGCCCCAGCCCTGAGTCACCAACATTGAATCAGGACCCTCCACCAGCAAAAAGATTACAACTCATTGAAAGCTCAATGATGGTTGGCATTTTTTAACAATAAGGCATTCTTAAATTAAGGTATATACATTATTTCATTAGATATAATACTACCATACTGGGTAAGCATAACTTTTGTATACACTGTGAAACCAAGAAATGAATTTGGCTAGCTTTATTGCTATACTTGCTTTATTGAAGTGTTCTGGAACCAAACCCATAATGTCTCTGTGGCATGCTTGGGTATGTATTCATGAATTCAGTTTTTTAAAAATTTATTGGGGCCCCTGGGTGGCACAGTCCATTGAGTAGATGATGATTCTTGATTTCAGCTCAGGTCATGATCTTGGGGTCCTGATTTGAGCCCTGCGTTAGGCTCTGCACTCAGCAGGGAGTCTGTTGGAGGATTCTTTTCTCCCCCTCTCCCTTTGCCCCTCCCCCTGCTCACGTGCATGCGATCTCTTGATCTCGCTCTCAAATAAATAAATCTTTAAAAAAATAAAAATAAAATTTATTTATGGGGTTACTGTTGCCAATGGATATCAAACTAAAGTTGTTCTCTAGCTTACTTTTTAAAAACTTAGCTGTATATTGAGAAAGCCTTTCCCTGTCAATAAATACTCTTCTATAACATGGTTTGTTTTTTTTTTTAGAGGGAGTATTTAGATGTAAGTTTTCTTTTACAGTTTACTATTATGGAGAGATAAGTGAAATTCTCAAGTGAATAATAAAACTAATGTCTCCGTTAAAGACTGTTCACTCCAAACTTTTGTCACACTGGGCTATTACATATTCCCTGGGCACTTACCCAGAGTCAGAGAACTTAGTAGATTTTTTCCCTGTAAGTGTTCTGAAGACCTCTGTAAGGCGTCCCCTGGGAAGACACTGAGAAATACTGCTGGGAAATTGTAGGCTGGCTACCTGTCACCTGCTTCGGGGTTGGTGAAGGTCCCACAGGTCTGGTCAGGCACACATAGCCTCAGCACTTCCTTGACGTTGTGCTCCAGTGGTACCCAGCTATGGCTGGCAGATGGCGGGGAGTACACAGACATGCCTCTGTCTGTACCACGTGAGAAACATTCCAGGGGCAAAATGTCTCCTAAGCCTATGGCACTGAGGAAAGCCCTCTATTGCCTGTGTCTTTGCTTTAGGACTTTGAGCACGTGTTTTCCCTGGACCTCTCCGCTGCCATTTGGAATGTCTGAGGTTAGCTGAAATTAGTCCTGTGCCAGAGAGATGGTAGAGCATACAAAACAGAGGGCATTGCCAGACACTGTATAATACAGACTGGATGATTCTATTTATATGAAGTTCTAGGATAGGTAAAAACTGATCTCTAGTGATAGAAATCAGATCTGTGGTGTCAGAGGTGGGTGGGATTCTTTGAGAAGAGTCCAAGGGAACTTCCTGGGGTGATAGGAAACATTCTGTTCCTTGATGGGGGTCATGGTTACATGCATGTACATATGTGTCAAAATGGATTTCATGCTTTAAAAGGGTACATTTTATTGTATGTTACTTATACCTCAAGACAGTTGTTGGGTTTTTTTTGTCTGTTTGTTTTAATAAAAGAACATGGGGAGGCGCCTGGGTGGCTCAGTTGGTTAAGCAGCTGCCTTGGGCTCAGGTCATGATCCCAGGGTCCTGCGAGTCCCATATCGGGCTCCTTGCTCAGCAGGGAGCCTGCTTCTCCCTCTCCCTCTGCTTATGTGCACTCTCTCTCTCTCTCCCTCTCTCTCTGTCAAATAAATAAATGGAATCTTTAAAAAATAAATAAATAAACAAAAGAACATGGGGTTTGGAATTAGACCTTAATTTGAAACTTGCCTCAGCTGCTTCTGAGAGATGTAGTATCTGTGCCTTATCTTCTTCGTTTGTAAAGCGGGGATGACAGTAATGTCTGCATTTGTCGTAGGTTTACAGTAGGATGACGTAAAGTTCTTGTCATAGTGCCTGGAATGTAGTAACTACCTGATAAGTAATTGTTACTGGATCTGTGGCAATTTGGCATTCATCTGTTTTGATCCCCAAGAAAAATGATGTGCTAATGTGAGATCAGGGTGGATAGGCATGAGCTGTGTTGGCAGTATTTGGAATTACGTGGTGGCCCAGGTGATAAGGATGATTGAGTCCTGGTCTTAACCCCACATCTTTGGGCCTTGGCAGAAACGAAGCCAGTTGGTAAAGAAGCTGAACGACTCTGATCACCAGTCCAGCACCTCCCCGCTTATGGAAGGCACTCCCACCATCAAATCCAAGAAGAAGCTGTTGCAGATCATTGACACCACCCTGCTCAAGTGCTACCTCCATGTGAGTTCTCCAGGCGCTCGCTACCCACAAGGCTCCGGTCCCCAGAAGCTGGGAAAGGGCTACTTTGGGGGACCTGCCATCAATAAGAGTGACATCTTGGATGATGGCAATCACCCAGCCTTGACGTGACACCTCTGAACTTCTGGAAATTAAAAGGTTAAGGCAAGATAATTGCCCCGGAATTTGCAGTGGGCTGGTCTTCTCTGGTAAGATGGGTTGATGCTACCGGGTGAACAGGGACAGTGTTTTCTTCCCCCCCATTCCCTGTAGTCCTGGAAAAGGGCAGTTGGCCTTCTCTGGCTTGTGTTCCATCCATAGCCTTCCAGCCTGAAGCAGGCCTGGGCTGGGTGGGGGGTGGGGGTGTCCCTTCACGACGCGGTTGCCACAGAAGTCGTGCTTCCTCTGCAGACGAACGTGGCCCTGGTGGCCCCTCTGCTCCGCCTGGAGAACAACCACTGCCACATCGAGGAGAGCGAACACGTGCTGAAGAAGGCGCACAAGTACAGCGAGCTGATCATCCTGTATGAGAAGAAGGGGCTCCATGAGAAAGGTGGCTGGAGTAGGGGCTTACCTCTGGGAGGGTGGTCTGTGGAGAGGGGAAACCCACCGAAGTACGAGGACTTTCCCGTGGGCATGTATTTCCTGGAAGACTAATGACTTTTTTGTTGGGCGGGGGCTTCCTGGCCAGCTCTGCAGGTGCTGGTAGACCAGTCCAAGAAAGCAAACTCGCCTCTGAAAGGCCATGAGAGGACAGTGCAGTATCTGCAGCATCTTGGTGAGGCCAGCTTTTGAAAGGGAAGGGGGAAAGGATTGTGTTCAAATGGACCCGATCTCCCTCCATTTCTGATTCTGGTGGGTTAGGACTCTCCCTCCCTTGTGCTCACCCAGCTTTGTTTCTCCACTTGAGGTTAGAGTCCCCCGCCCCCCCTCCATGGTGGAATGGTGACAGCCCTTTAGCATGTAACCGGTCCAGTAGGGGCAAGTATCCCTGAGTGACTGGTGTTTGGACAGAACCATCTCTCCTGGAAAGTAAATTCAGGGGCAACCTTTGCACCTGCCTTTGCAGTCCTGTGGTCAGGGTGGGCCTCACCTGCCAACCAATCTTTTCCCTCCAGGCACAGAAAACCTGCATTTGATTTTTTCCTACTCTGTATGGGTGCTGCGAGACTTCCCAGAGGATGGCCTGAAGGTAGGTAACGGGGATCTCTTGGATTTATCTAGTACCACACTGGGTCCTAATTCTACTTAGGCAGTGGTGGCTGGAGGTGGGGGGAGGATTCATGCAGTTTCTCTGGCATTCAGAGGAGTAACCTGGGAAATAGGAGACAACAGTGTAATGTAGCGGAGAGAGACTTCCACAGACGTCAGTAGACCAACGCCTGCGACCTATTGTGTCACACGAGATGGCACACAGGTGCCATCTGGTAGACCTTCCCCCTTCAGAAGTCCACTTGAGCCTCGACTGTGTCCGTGTGTGCATGTGTGGTTGGCAACACTGCAGTCAGATGGTTCTGCTTCTGGAACGCTGGTTTGTTCCCACAGATCTTTACTGAAGACCTTCCGGAGGTAGAGTCTCTGCCACGGGACCGAGTGCTCGGCTTCTTGGTGGAGAATTTTAAGGGTCTGGCTATTCCTTATCTGGTAAGATCTTTTTTTGGTCTGAACTAAAAACATTTAAATGTGGGATCCAGGACCACGTGGGGCAATTGGGCAATTCAGTACTGGGCAATTCAGAATGGGGTTTATGTCACCTGGGGACTGGTAGAAATTTAAGGAAGATTATTTCTGCCTCCTCTGAAGAAAGATCTTGGTAGATCAACCTGGAAATGATACTTTTGATGAATGCCTTCTAAATCTAGATAAAGTACAGAGGGATAGAAGAGAATGGCATTTGAAAAAAAAGCATTGTATGGCCATTGATTCAGCCAGGACCACAGGACAACCAAATTGGTTTTAAGTAGCAGAATGCAACTATGTAACTGTAATTGCGTGGGCAGATGTGCGAGTTTAGAGGATTATGGGACAAAGTTAATAAAGGAGCTTAGACTACAAATCAAGAAAATAATCCATGGGGCGCCTGGGTGGCTCAGTCAGTTAAGCATCTGCCTTCAGCTCAAGTAATGATCCAGGTTCCCTCGGGCTCCCTGCTCAGTGGGCAGTGTGCTTCTCCTTCTCCCTCTGCCCCTCAACCCCTCTTATGCTCTCTCTCTCAAATAAATAAATAAAATCTTTTAAAAAAAGAAAAGAAAACAATCCCTGATGTTTCTGGGTTGTAGTCCAAGATTGCCTGGTGGTTTTAAAAGAGCTATCGCGGGGCGCCTGGGTGGCTCAGTGGGTTAAGCCTCTGCCTTCAGCTCAGGTCATGGTCTCAGAGTCCTGGGATCGAGCCCCACATCGGGCTCTCTGCTCAGCAGGGAGACTGCTTCCCTTCCTCTCTCTCTCTGCCTGCCTCTCTGCCTACTTGTGACCTCTCTCTGTCAAATAAATAAATAAAATCTTTAAAAAAAAAAAAAAAAAAAAGAGCTATCGCTTCATTAGGAGACCATCTGATGGGACCTCTTGGGCCTTAAAAATGTGAGGGAGACAGGGAAACAGAGCTGGGTCACAGCATAGAGGGTACCAGGTAGATCCATGTCTTGCCTCAGGAACATGTCATCCACGTTTGGGAGGAGACAGGCTCTCGGTTCCACAACTGCCTGATCCAGCTGTACTGTGAGAAGGTGCAAGGTCTGATGAAGGAATATCTCCTGTCCTTCCCTGCAGGTACCAGTTCTTGTAGAAAGCCAAGTGGCCCTGGGCCTTAGAGGTGACCTGGGACCCGAGGGTGCCGTGTGGCATAGGGAAGCAGAACTTACTCTCCTCTACGGGGCCCAGGTGGGTGGGAAGTTCCTCAGAGGCGCCAGGGCAGCTAAGTGAGCCAGCACAGGAGACTCAAGAGCTCTTGTCTGGATCTGGGCATCTCTGAGCATTGCCCATAGGGGAGGGGGAAGGAACAGATTGTAAGATGGCAGCTGTGCTGATAAGAAACAGGTTTGCTTACAGGAGCGTTTGTGCAGCTTGTTTTTCTTCGTATCTCAAGCCGATGTTTTGGGGGTCATGCAGGGACCATAAACTAAGAAAAGTCCAGCTGAAACCCACTTTGGGGGCCCTTTCTGATCACTGTGGTGATATCATGAACCCCATCCCTTTCGTTTGTCTTGATGACTCCATATTGCCGTCCAGCAGCAGCCTTTCATACTGAGGTTGGTTTCCTTTGAAGGCAAAACTCCAGTCCCTGCTGGAGAGGAAGAGGGTGAGCTGGGAGAATACCGACGGAAGCTCCTTATGTTCTTGGAAATTTCGGGCTACTATGATCCAGGCCGGCTCATCTGTGACTTTCCTTTTGATGGTGAGTGTCTGGCTCATGGCCAGAAGCCACTTCAGCAGAAGGTAATGCAAAAACTCATCCTACCCTTTTCCCCAGTTCCCTACTCTTCCCACAAGTCAGGGCTGGAGAAAGCCGCGTGTTTCAGGCCAGGGCTGCAGTTCTGTGCCATCTGAAGACTTGCTTTTGTACCGTGACTGAGAAGTCTCTTTTGGGTGTGAACCACTTGGCAGTTGCTGGCCAGGTTGAGACCTGTTTCCTGCATCAGCACATGTTCTTGGGCAAGTTCATTATTTAGCAATATTTGTAATCTGGCATCGTTTGTCTGAAAAAGACACACATTTGTGTGATGGATGAGCTCCGGGAGAGCAGAGACCAAATGTTTCCAAATGCTTTCCTTAGCGGGAGTGCTTGGCGCCTTGTGGGTGCTTATTATTCACTTGGTCTTTGGATGAGAGTTCTTAGCCAGTTTAGAAGTGATCACCAAAAAGATAGGATAAAGTACTTTCTAAAATAGCTCCCTTCGCCCATTTCTAATTTTAGCAGTTTTCTCCTTGGAAAAAACCCCAAGTAATACAAATACTTTCACACAGTTGTGTAACAGCTTAGCTTCCCGGCCTGTGCTTACGCAGTGGTGGTGAAGGTTACTCACGCTCCTTCCTTCTCCCAGGCCTCTTAGAAGAGCGGGCACTGCTGCTGGGCCGCATGGGGAAGCACGAGCAAGCGCTCTTCATCTACGTGCACATCCTGAAGGACACAAAGATGGCCGAGGAGTACGTTCCCCCCCTTTTCCCGCCCCCCCACCCCACCACCATCACACCGCCCAGTGAGCACAGCAGGCCCCACAGAGGGAGGAGAGGCGGGAGAGCAAGCGGCCTCTCCTCCACTCTGCCTCCCCTGCTGGCCCCCAGTTGTGGCGCCATCGTGAGGCTGCTCCTGCAGGCTGAATCGATGACCTCTCTCCATGTGGCTGCTCTGGCCTATCTCACCACTTTCTCCCTTTCAGGTACTGCCACAAGCATTACGACCAAAACAGAGATGGCAACAAAGATGTAAGTAGTGACACTGGCCCCAGGGAGCGTGTGCACTTTCCACTGTCCCTCACAGCACAGCCCACCCCCTCGGGGGCGGTCACAGGGGACACTGGTAGGAGTGGCTGAGATCCCTGATTCTGCACGTGTGTATTGAGGAGAGGCAGGATGACCGTACATCCTGGTTTGCTCGGGATGGTTCTGGCTTACTGTGATGGTTAGTAGCGTCCCTAACCCCTTCGCTTTCAGAAGAGTCCCAGCTTGTATAATAAGGCCAGACAGTTGCGAGGAAGTGCACTTTTGTGCTCTGTCTAGAGTGCACATGGATTTGTCCGTGTCTGGACACACTTTTGACTCTCATGCCTGGGGTGTGGGGATAACTGGAATCTAAGCGGTAGAGGCTGAAGTCGCTGCTAAGCAGTGCACGGGCCACCCTCAAAGAAGAATTAGCCAGCCCGGAGTGTTGAGTGCTGTGTTACTGGCCCCAGTAAGAAAGATGGTGTCTCATTTCAGGTTAAGCCTCGTCTGCCAAGATGGGATCGGGTCACAGCCTCAAAGCCAGATTCCTGGGAGGGATCTTTTTGAGTCATTTTGCAGTGTTGGTGTTTTGTCAGTAGTATGATGCTTAATAAATGCAAGGCATTTGGGGTTGTTTTTTTTCTTTCTCTCATGAAAAACAGTCCTTAATTTTTTTACCTCTTCAGTTGACTGACTTTACCAAGAGCTTTTAAAATGTGACAAATGATGAATTTTATGTGCTCCAGGGCAGCTCTTACTAGAGCCCAACCCCTCTTATTTTTAGGTGTGGTCATGCTGGGGGGTTCTGGAAGGCTTACCACCAGTCTGATGTATGTGACTTGTGTGAGACAGGTATATCTGTCCCTGCTCCGGATGTACCTGTCGCCCCCCAGTGTGCACTGCCTGGGACCGATCAAGCTGGAATTGCTGGAGCCACAAGCCAACCTCCAGGCAGCCCTGCAGGTCCTCGAGCTGCACCACAGCAAGCTGGACACCACTAAGGTCAGGAGCTCTTCTGGGGAGATGAGAGGCACTTGGTGGCACACTCAAGAGAGGACAGGACAGAGAAAGGGACTGAGGTTGGAGAGCTGTGTGGCTTCAGACTTCTCCTCAGGCTCACTTTTGTTCTGTCTCACGCCGTTCCCATCTCTGTTCCTGTCCCTAGGCCATCAACCTTCTACCAGCAAACACTCAGATTAACGATATACGCATCTTTCTGGAAAAGGTCTTGGAAGAAAATGCACAAAAAAAACGGTTCAATCAAGTGCTCAAGAACCTTCTCCATGCAGAATTTCTGAGGGTATGAACCTTCCAGACTCTAGGGTGGGGTTGTACTTCTTTAGTATGAGACAGTTACCACATATTCCCCAGAGACAAAAGCAGAGCTTTGTGTTCCTTTAATGCTGTAGCTCAAACTGATGTCATAAGCAACTTGACAGTTGCTTGCACGTGTTTCCATTAGAGGCATCTGTGGGGGCTGGGGGATGAGGCAACGCCAGCCTCTGCCTTCGGTTCTGTGTGCTGGACGCTAGGGCTTCTGTCCCAGTCACTCTCCTCTCACAGGTCCAGGAAGAGCGGATTTTACATCAGCAGGTGAAGTGCATCATCACAGAGGAGAAGGTCTGCATGGTGTGTAAGAAGAAGATCGGGAACAGGTGAGCCTCCTGCACAGCTGTGTGTGGGTCCCACGCAGGATGGATTTCTGCCCTTAGCTGATGGGAAAAGCATGGCTCTTGGCCGTCTCGGCCACTGTTACTTCTTGAGCTTCCAGAGAGCCGTCCTGTTGTGTATTGCGGGTTAGCTTTGGAGATTTAAAGACTTGCAGCGTATGGCACGGGGCTCTTGACTTCATGCCTGTAGAGCCCTTCCCTTCTGGCACCTAGACGTTGTGATGTAACCAGTGGGTGTGTATGAGTCGTATGTGGGAGAAAGTTCTTATCTTTTGGGGTGTGCCTGTGAAGGAAGAAAAAGATCTTTCCATCTGCTGCCTCATGACTTGAGTAAAATCCTGGGCCGGCATCATTCTGTTTGGTGCATATACTCCGGTCTGTCTCCTTGCTTGCAAAGCAGGGCACTTTGTCCCTTTTCTTACGTGAGTGGAAGAATCTTTTTCTTTAGAAAGACCTAACCTGCTGTCTGTTGTTTGAAATTGTCTAAAACTTGCTCTAATGAGCAGAACCATCTCCATCTTCCATGTATTTCACAGTGATGACTTAAGAAGAAGCATTCCCATGCCTTCAGACTGCATGGAGCTCGTGCTCTGTTTGGTTATTTGACGGAGATGGTGGCTGTGTAAATTCAGAAGACCCTAGGGGTGTGCCGTCTCTTGTGGTTAGGGTGGGTCACTTTTGGGAGGGCCCCCGAGTAAGGCACCTTTTCCAGAAGTGGTCTTCTCCCCTGAGCCGTTTTCCTTTCTACAGTGCATTTGCAAGATACCCCAACGGAGTGGTCGTGCACTACTTCTGTTCCAAAGAGGTCAACGCGGCTGACACCTGAGCCCAGCATGCCAGGGACTCTTCATACGGACAGTTGGCTATCCCAGAGTGGGGAAAGAGCACCGGCCTTAGGAATGGGGGGCTGTTTCCACCACCAGCTGTCTCCCCATTTGGACACTCCTGGCTACCTTGAGCCGTGGAACATCTCTGAATTTAATCAGACTTGCAGTCTGGTGTTACCAGCTTTTTGATAGAAAAAGAGATTAGCTACACCTTATATACCATTTGCGTTGCAGGCGGTTTCCGAGAATTTACTACCCACTTGGACGAGAATTTACTACCCGCTTGGACAGGAGGAGGTGGGGAAGGGCATTGTCCTGCCTTTGCACACCAATCACCTGAACAAAGAAAGGGTCTCAAGTGTCTGTAACTGCGCGATTGTTTATGCAGTTTTTTATGAAGACATGTGCAGGCCTTGGCGCTGAGCCCCCTGTGCAGTGGCCTAGCACCTGGGAGGAGAGCCGTCCTAGAGCTCCTCTCACCACACGGGCCGGCCCTGGCTCTCTAGGTGATGACAGTCATTTCTCCATGGTCACCACGCCCCCTGTCCCCTGAGTCCTGCCCGCTCGTCATGTCCTGTTCAGTCTCCCTTTCTTCCTCACTGTTGATTTTCTTCCTCAGTCTCTCCCTTCACTGCCTCCCCCCACGCTTTGTCTCCCATTTTCCCCACACCAGGAATAGTTGACATATAAACGAGGTAAAATGAGAGGTGAGGGGAAGTCTCGGTTTCCAGGATATGCTGATAAAACTGATGGTCAGGTGTGTTGTAAATAGGTCCTCCTTGGACTGAGAGTTCTGTGCCTGGAAGCTTAGGAGAGCATCGTCCTCCGTCCCCTGGGGTGAGTGTGACGGTGGCTCTGAGGACGGCTATGTGACCTCTGAGGCAGACCTGTGCAGACGCACCTGCTCCTGGGTCACCCAGCAGCTGCCCAGGGCAGGGTGGCTTGGTCTCTGTGAGCACAGTGCTTTGTGCTTTGGCATCTTTCCCTTCACAGCTAGTGTCATCTGCTCGCCTCTCAGTTGGCCTGGCTGTCCTTCTCCAGCTTCATTTTGCTGGAGGGGTTGGAGGACTGCGCCGGCCTTTTGTAGGTAGGTGGGTCTCTGTCACACATAGGAGCGATCAGATCAGGAGCTGACAGGGACGGGAGGTGGGCGTGCTCGTGAGGTGTGTGGCAACGGCTGACAGCCCAGTGGGAGGTGGCCGCGGCTGCAGCGCACGGGTTTATGAAGGAACTCACTGCCAGATCCCTGGAGCACTTGTAAGGGGCAGAGAACCCCCCTTCCCTGCCCAGGCACTGGACGCACCCAGGAGGAGTGTCCAGCATGACAGGCAGAAGACCTACGGGAGCGCAGGCCCTGCCCCCTGTCCTCCCTGGGGTCTTACAGACTCAGTCTTGATGCTGCTGTGTTTCTAACGGTGGGAAGGGTGGGTGATGGTGCCCGGCCCTGACAGTGTTTTCAGCTCCTGGCCTTGACAGGCCATGGTTCTTCTTAAACTGCAGCACCACGCCATGTTGGTGTGTTGGAGGCTGCGTGGGGGGTGTTGTAGACTCGGCTCCTCCTAGGCACAGTGCCCACGGAGAGTCTGAAGTACAGAGCACGTGCCCTCAGCATCACTCATGCAGGCAGGGACTCTGCTCAGGTTTGGAAGGCAGAGCAATGCTTCGGAAGAGCCATGTCCCACCTGGCCATACCAACCTATGAGAAGCCATGCTGCCCTTGGACCTGTTGGCACCAGCTGGAAGGAGCTTCCGCTGGAAGCAGCACAAAAGTCATCAGACCAACCTTCCCTCTCTGCCGTGGAAACCCGCCCCACCCCACCAGCCCTGTCTCCCTGGCTTGCTGTGTTTGTATCTTCCATCCTCACAACTTGTGTGGCACATCTGTTTGAAGCAATAGAATAAAGAATCTGTGTTTTCCTCCTTCTGGAATACATAACCCCATTTTCCCAAACTCCGTTCTTCCTTCTCTCCGTTTGCCCTCTGTGGAGGTATGAGAGACAAAAGCTCTGTAATGACTCATGAGGATCTCATAATAAATGTCATAAAGTCAGACAACAGCCTATTTGAGTCTCTCCCCACCCTTTTCTGTGAAGTTTGATGGAAATAACAATGAGGAGAGAGCAATTTAGCTAAGAATTGATAAGAATAAGCCAATTAACGATAAAGAAGTCAGAATGACACTTCTGTTCTCTACGTCTAGATCTGTGCCATTCAGCACAGCTAGTGTGGCTGGCTGCCCATAGTGGGACAGTGCGGACATGGAACATTTCCAGCCTCACCAGGTTCTGCTGGACACAGACCACCTCCAGCTAGTCCCAACTCTTCCCCCCCTGCACTTCACATATGACGGCCTCCTGCCTCTTCCTGCAGCTCCTAGGGACTGGGAGAGTCATGAAACGTATGGAATTGGTGGGATTGAAGGGCCCAAGTATGTTTGAGAAGGTTGGTCCATTTTGGCCAGCACCAGAAAGGCAGTCTGGTCCTTCTGTGTCCCCCTCTTTAGCCATCTGTGGTCATCCTGAGTTTTCTTTGGAGGCACAGGGCATGTGACTTCCAGGAGACGGTATCCTACAGCACACAGCTTGGGATGCCAGATGGCTGTGTGTGCCGCAGCCAAGTCTGTGCTCCCACTCAGGCCCCTCCAGCATGGAGCCTGCACACACCGTGTGTAGGTAACACCAGTGCACTGGCACTCCGGCATCTCTGAGACCCCGGCACAGGTCTTGGCTCTGTGTTCCAAGTTAAGCAGAAATAGGCCCTCCCCTTGGGGCCCAGACAGTGGCAGTCATCCTCTTCTTTTCTAGCAGGTTCTCATCTCAACGTGCGGACAGGGTTCATTCTGGAGTTGAATCACCTCTTTTTTTGGATGTTGTTTTTCTTTAGTCTCCACCTCAGGCCTGGGGGAGGAGAGCGGAGATGACTAAGTCTTGGTTGACAAACAGAAATTATCATCTCCCAACAGCTCACTTCCCCAGAGATCTTTTCTTCTGGAAACTGCCTTTCTCGGCCATCCAGACCGCTGTGGTTCACAGTCACGTACCATCTCTAGCCTAAGGCTTATGATGATCAAAAGAGGACTCTCTAAAGCCTTATCTCCAGTAGCATAAGGAGAGGCAGGCCGGCTTTTTAGCAGTCTGTATTGATACCACCTGATGATATCCCTACTTGTTTACCTGGACCATCCAGGCACATCCGCCCATCCAGGAAGAGGGCCCTGGGCAAAAGTGACACAGAATCATGAGGCTGTGAATTTCCCCAGGATACAGATGGATCCTCCTCCCCTTTGGTTGCAAGGCCTAGTGTAAGTCTGGCACACAGCAGACTATCAGTGTTTGATGAATAAATGAGGGAGGTCACAAGAGATGAGAAACACATTTGGGTCCAGATAAAACTGAATCAGAGATGTCCATGTTTCTGCTTAAGAGCTGTGGGCAAGGTGGGACTTGAAGGGCAGGTGGTTTCAGGACTTTTTTCTAGCTGGAGGAGACGAGGCCCTGTTGCAGCATCTTCCATCCCCTTCCATCCCCTCCTCACACCTGCTGTGTCAGCATTGTCTAGAAGGCTTGTTGGAAATCATAACACCTGGGTTCTAGCCACGCCCACGAAGTCGAATCATCTAGGGGGTGAGGCTCAGATATCTATTTTCCATAAGCAGCCGAAGGATAACCAGGAGCTAGGGTTGGGAATCAGAGTCCCAGTTCCTCAGCCTCTCAGAGGGGGACTGAGGTGTCTTTTGCTTGAGGGAATTGTCACTTCCAATCACTTCCTGGAGCACACCAAACCCCACCCTCAGCCCCAGCAGGCCACCCAACCCTGAGTCCTCAGGAGAGTAGCCAGCTCCACCCTCCCCACCTGGACGTTTCCTGTCAGACCTGAGCTAGCAGTGAGTGTAGCCAGAGGAGAGCAGGGTGGCTCTGGAAAGCACGCAGGGCTTCCAACTGAGAACTGTGCTGCCCAGCCATGCACCTTGGGCCAAGGTGGCTGGCAGGCAAGGGGCTGCCCCTCCTGGGGGCAGTGCTGCTGCGCATGAGAGAGAAGAGGGGACCTCAGTGGAGCCAGTGTCGGGTAAGTTACCTGGTCTTGCCTGGGAAGCGTGGACTGCAAAAGCCCTGGGAAGACTGAGGCCAGCCTGGGATTGGCTTCTGATCTAGGCTGGGACCCACTGGCTCTGGCCAGCCTGGTGGAGTTTAAATTAAAGAGGTTGGCCAAAACCTTGCCTTTTGGAAATGATACTCCTTCCCCGAAATTAGGAATGGAGGGTGAGGTCCTATGATGCTTGCAGCTGTTGACTTTGCCCAGAATGCCCCAGCTTGGCTGTAGAGTGCCCCAAGGGGATAGGGGGAAGGGGCTTCCTGGGATTTTGAGGGGTAGCCTCACTCCCAGGAGAGTGCGGTCTGTTGTTAACCTCTCTTGGGCCCAAGCTGTTGTCTCCTTCGGGACTCATCAGACCAGTACAAGTTGGGTGACACCTGGTTTCCCTTCACCTGCCGCCTCCTAGGGGGTGTGGCCTTTGTCAGTGTCCTGGTGGGTGGGGTTGATCACCACTTTCTCTTCTAATCTTTAATCTCCGAGGTCCAATACTCTAGCTCTCACTTAGGCTCCCAAGCTCTTGGCCGGGGCAGGAAAGTGAGGAGAGCTGCCCATCTGCGGTGGTGCGTCACAACCGTAATTAGTAACAGTAGCTACCTGTATTAAGCACTAATACCAGCCACTTTATAGAACTTCTCATTTAAAAGTCAGCACAACCCTATGAGATTATAAACCCCTGCATATAGATGGGGCAAATGAAGCTTGAGGAAATTTGCCCAAGGCCATTCAGCTAGGCCATGGTGGAGCTTAGATTTGAACCCAGCCTGACTGATTTCAAAGTCCAGGCTCATCAATGACTTGTTGAACTCCCAGCGTCCCAAGTCCTCTCCGGTCCCAGGCACAGTGACTTCTGTGACCCCAGGCCAGGCTGCGGCTCTGTGAGGGGATGAGGGAAGCCTGAGCTGGGTACCACCGCAGGGAGGTGATCAGGCCCCCCTACCTGGCTTCCCAGAACTGAGTTCCAGAGTTCTATTGTTTCAGCGGGAAACCCACCCATACTATGACCTCCAGGTGAAGGTGCTGAGGGCCAGAAATATCCAAGGCACAGATCTACGTGAGTGATGCCTAATTCCACCCTTTCTCCCCTTCCTTTTCCTGGGGCTTCCCCCAGAGCCCAGCAGGAGCTGGCTTAAGGGGTGTGTGTGTGTGTGTGTGTGTGTGTGTGTGTGTGTGTGTGTGTATGTGTTTGGAGAGGGGTAGCTAGTGTTGGCTTTGGAGGGAGTGAGCCCTCCCAGTGAGGGAGCTCCGGGGCAGGCAGGCAGGGGCTGGACGGGAGACTTGTGCAGACCTCTGACTCCTCCTTGAGTCTAACAAGTAGAGCAGTGCAGCCTGGGTGAGCATGTGAGGCTGCTGTTGTCAGAAATCAAAGTCTGTTCTCCAGCTGCTTTTCACGCCAATGCTCACCATGGAAGGGAACTTTGTTGCCCTAATCAGGTCCTTTCAAGGGATTACTCAACAGTCTGTGCAGCCATGTGGTCTTCTAACTGGCTACTACAGCCTTCGGTTGTAAGTGGTCCAGATGGAGTTAAGGACATTGGCTCGCCCCACGTCTCCTCATCCCACACAGGCAGCCTCCTCTCCCCCATCGGCTCCTTCCCCTCTTGCCCCAACCTCCTCCAGGGAACCCTTCCAGCAATAAAAGCTAGACGCTGAAGACCCCTCCCCCATCCCACCTGCAGTGTCCAAAGCTGATTGCTATGTGCAACTGTGCCTGCCCACTGCGTCCTCTAGCCCCACCCAGACAAGAATGGTGGCCAACTGCAGTGATCCCAAATGGGATGAGACCTTCCACTACCGGATCCACGGTGCTGTGAAAGTGAGGACCAGCAAAGCGCCCAGGCAGTGGAGGGAGAGAGCTCCTCCAGGGGAGGGAGAGGGCTGTCTGCCTTCCCGCCCTGCCTCAGGCTCCCACCTCTCACCTGCCATTCCCAGAATGTTCTGGAGCTCACCCTTTATGATAAGGATGTCCTGGACAGTGACCAGCTCTCCCTGCTACTGTTTGACTTGAGGAGCCTCAAGCCTGGCCAACCATACAGACACACCTTCCTACTCAACCACCAGGTGAGTCCCCCCTGCCCCCCACAACCTGTGCCAGCAACGAACTGAACACAAAGAGAGGAAGTCTGGCATAGGGTATTGAAGTGACGGCTCCTGGTCAGCACAGGCCAGGCCTCCAAGACAGACCCTCCTCTGTCCTATACCACTGACCCTACAAAGGCTTCCCCTCATATATTTTTTCCCTTAATGGAGCCAACATGTGAGCTCCTTGAGGGCAGAGCATTTTGTCTGTCTTGGCCACTGCCAAACCCACTGAGGGTCTGGCACACAGTCCTAAAGGCATGAAGCCCCTCATGGAGAGGTTCTCCTTCCTATGCCTGTGAGAAGCCATGATAATCGTCACCTCTTCTAGTCCCTGGTGCTGAGCAGGGTAGGAGGCCGGGACGGTCTCTGATACTTTTAGAGCTCTTGAAAATGAATGCTCCCTTGCTTCTTTCATGTAGGACTCACAAGAGTTGCAGGTGGAATTTGTTCTGGAAAACAGGTGAGTCCAGGTGACACCCATGCCCTCCAGTTTACACCGAGAATCATGGACAGCTCCGGTTGTCAATCACCAGTCTCTGCACTGGCCTGGCCTGAGAGGAAATGTCCTAGTCCAGACACCCATTTGACTGTTGGCGACAGGCCCACTCCTACCCCCAAACCTGGCCATGCTCCCCAGGCTCTTCCAGCTGCTTTAGTCACATTATTAGAGTAACAGCTGTCTGGCAGGGAGCCAGATGTCCCATGAGCCCCTCATCTTTTGCAGTCAGGTGCCTGCATCTGAAGTTATCACCAATGGGGTCCTGGTGGTGAGTAGGGAAGGCGAGCTTGGGGCTGTCCAGGGCTGGGGGTGGGGAAGGACTGTGCTGAGTCCACAATTGAGCCTATCATGCCCCCTTGCCTCTGAAGGACACTTGAACCCTCCCGAGAGGGGAAATGTGCTAGGGAGGCATCTCCAGGGACCAGGAGCAAGAAGCTCCCTCAAGTCAGAGTGGACAGCTTGGAAGCTTTCCTTCCTCCCCTGCGCCCTGGGGCCCTTGGCTGCTGGGACGGCTGCTATCCAAGCCCCTCCCCTCCTTCCCCTTTCCCACAAGGGCCACTTCATCTGAGTCCTGGGTGGGGGCTGTTTCAGAAGACTCCTACCCACAAGGCACAGGCCCTAGCAAAGTTGTTACCTGGGCCCTGCCCCAGACACCCCTCCTTCTGCTCTGGTCTGGGCCCCGTGGAGGGAGGGCCCCGTGAACTGTCAGCTCCTAGCAGCCTCTGCTTTCCTCAGGCTCACCCCTGTCTGAGAATCCAGGGCACCCTCGGGGAAGACGGCATAGCCCCACATCGAGAGTACGGTGAGTGTGGTCCATGGCTTTGGGGCTTGCCTTCTCTCCTGAGGGGTGGGGGACTGCTGAATTCTAGAAGGTGGGTCCAAGGCAGGCAGTTCTTATATGTTTCAGCACTCAAAGCAGACCAAGGGTGGAACGGATTGCTCCTGAAAGTAGTGATTTTCCTGTCCCTGGAAGTGTTCATGCATAGAGGTTGTATCAGTTCGATTACTGCTCTGCCAAAAGCAACCCTGTGTCAGATGGTCAGCTGGCACTTGGCTGATCTAGGCTGGGCTTGGCAGGAGGGACCTGGCTGTGTGCCATATGTCCCTATCCACCTTCTGTGACCCATGGGCTAGTAGTGTTCCGAAGGTGTCAGCAGTGGCATGAGAGTGAGCCAAATGAGCAGGGGGTTCTCAAGCCTTTGGTCATATCACAGCCACTAACTGACATTTTACAAGCCAAGACATGTCACAAGGCTGTGACCCTGAAGTCAGAGCACCAGCAATCCAGTTGGCCTCTCAGCCAGAAGAACTGAAGTCGCATGGCAAAGCGTGGGAGTTCCAGGAGCAAAGAACCACGGCCACTGATGTAGTGTGCCACAGGGGGCAGCCACTCGGGATGCAGGAGGGGTCCGGATGCAGGAGCAGAGCAGAGGCTATGGGGTGGCTAAGGTCCCCTCAGATGCTGAGAGTCTGAGCCCGCAGGCTGAGCCCATGTAATGTTCCAGCACTCACTGTGAGCTAGGCACTGTGCTCAGCATGTCACATTCTTTTATCTTTAATTCTCCTAACAACCCTGTAAAATATAACTATTAGCTTCTTACGAAACTGCGGCTAAAACAAGAAAACCACTTAAGGTCCCGCAGCCTGAAAGTGAGAGAGTCAGGACCAGACGCAGGTCGGTGGCGCGTGGGGGCCTGTCTGCCTCAGACCAGCACATAGCCATTTCCAGCCACAAACCACAGTTTCCTCATATTCTCTAATTCCCACCCATCCGGGGGCACGTCCCGTCTCCAGGTCTCATTTAGTGCCAAGGAGGGCGTGTCGGGAGAGAGATTCCATGTGGACCTCTGTTCCCGAAGCATCTGTCACCTTGGACTGTTTGGGTGTCTGTTACTCTCAAGTCAGGTTTAGGGTCTGGGGTCCCCTCTAAGTGTCATGCACATTTCTCTCCAGGGTTTTGCCTCCTCCCCAGAAAGCTGCTTGGAACAGGGTGCGCCCATAGGCCTCCCTCTTTACCTCCTTCCAGCCTAGGCTGGCTCTCCCTGCTTCTCCAAGCCTCTACTTACCCACTTCTTCCTCTCACCTCCTCTGCACACCCTGTGTTCTTGCAAGATCTTATAATGGAAATAAAGGGCAGGACAACTTGCTGCCTATTTGTTCTCTCCCCGGCCACAAAACTTCCCCACCGTGGTGAGCACAGGAGGCAAGAGATGGGGCAACTGCCAGCTGAAGACTGCTAATTAATGTAATAATATGTGATAATTATAATTATTATAGAATTATACTTTATATACTTAATATAATAATCTCAAAATCTTCGGCCCCATAAACTCTGGGCAGGGAGCCCTCTCCCTCCCTGCCTTTCCCCCGTCTCTAGGCATTGTGTGTCTCCCACCCCGCCCCAGGTTCCCAGTTCTGACCCGGGCAGCTCATAGGACCCTGAGGATCCTTCATGATGCCTTTGCTATGGGTCATAGAAGCAGAGAGTGAGTGGGGCGAGGAGTTGGCATTTCTAAGGGGAAAGAAAGGACAGTTGCTCTTCAAGGGTGCTACCATCATGGGCCAACACCCCCCCCCTCCATTCTCATCCCTTCATCTGGTCCCTCACCTGGGCCATCTGCTCCCAGGCTCTAGGCAGATTCAGCTGACAGTGCCTGGGGCCTATGAGAAGCCACAGTTCTTGCCCCTGAAACCCCCCAAAGAAGGAGGCCACCCAACCACCTTCACCTTTCATGTGAACCCCATGATCAGCTCCAGGCTGGATGTGGAGCTGGGGGAGAAGCTCAGAGTCCTGGAGGTAAGTGAGCCCAAGTGCGTGAGAGAATCAGTCCGGTCTAGGGGGGCATCCCAGGGCCACCACGGAGGCATGTGTTCCTTTGCCATGCAGCATCATGAGGGGTGTTTGCTTCTCTGCAGAGTGGCCCAAGTGCTGAGCTAGAGACCCAGACCAGCCAGCTGGGCAAAGGGGGCATCCCGCTCTCTTCTTTGGCCATAGGCCAGGAAGAACAGCGTTTCGTGGCCCTGGGGGAGGTAAGGCTCTCTCTGGCTGCCTGAGGGACTCCTGCCTACTCTGTAGCCCCCAAAAGAGGGCTGGGGGAGGAGCCTGAGAGGGAGGAGGTGAGGATCAAGCCAGCCTGGAGTTTGGGCCAGAACCTCCTGAGTGACAGGGGCTATGGGGGGGGGTGGTGGAGAATCCCACTCCGGGCACTCAGCAATAGGGCTCTTTTCTCTTTCAGGACCAAGCAGTGGTTCTGCAGATGAAGGCAGAAATGAGGTAAGCTAGGCCGGCCTCAGGAGGAAGGCTCTTGGGCTAGGCTGGAAGTGTGGGGGTTGGGGGGGGCTCTTCTGCCTCCTTGACTCAGCCTGGGTGGTAGAGGCCTTGTCTGTTTCTGGTGAGGTCTTTCTAAGGGGTTCCATGGAATGTGACAAATGGGTCTGAGGCTCTCCTCCAGTGAACAGTTGCCCAGCACCCCACCCTCACCCCCATCTGAGGCAGCACTGGAGACCTTGACCTGCGCCTTGGCTTTGGCCTGTGTGATGGGGAACAGGAGTTTCTGGACAAGAGGAAGCCAATCGTGTCTAAGGCCCTGCAGCAAGTGCTGGGATTGAGCAAGGCTCCTGACAGTGGCCAGGTATGAAATGGAGGAGGTGGCCCCCAGGGTCACCAGGACCAAATCCAGCCCCTTTCCTTGAGAGGACTGTGCGTCCAAGAGGCGACAGGAAGCCTTCAGGGAGGGCAGGGAACAGAGGAGGAAGGGGCAGGCCTGTTAACCTGAGTGCATAGGCAAAATCAGGAGAGGCAGGACCCCATGTGTAATGAGGGACAAGCAGCCCTGGCCAAGCAAGAGGTATATTAGTCCCCTCAGGCGGCCATGACAGAACACCACAGACTGGGCGGCTTAGACAACAGACATTTATTTTCTCCCCCGGAGGCTGGAAGTTGAAGATTAAGGTGCCATCGGGGTTGTTTCTGGTGAGGCTTCTCTTCCTGACGCGTAGACAGCCACCTTCTTGCTGTGTCCTCACATGGCCCTTACTCTGAGCATGTACAGAGGGTAAGGGGCAAGTTCTCTCTTCCTCTTCTTATAAGGACTCCAGTACCATTAGATAAAAGCCCCACTGGTGTGACCTTACGTAACTTCTATAACCGCCTTATAAGCCCTTTCTACAAACGAAATCAGCCTGGGGTTCCGGACACATGTATTTCCAGAGGCGGGGCACAGTTCAGTGCATAACTATAGACAAAGGGATTTGGAAGTGGAGGGTCTGTGGGAACCTGTGGCCGGGAGGCAGGCGGGACGGCAGTACCAAGGGAGAGGGCTCTGGCAAATCAGGAACAAGTTGGTGGCTTCCTCCTGGCTGCAAGTGTGCTCAGGATTTGGAGCCATTCCTGGTGCTGACAAGGTAGGCAAGCCCAGATGGTTCCTTTGGTAATGCCTGCTCTGTGCCGGCTCCCCGCTCTGTAGGTGGAGGGTAAAGAGGGCACAGACCTGGCTTTCAGGGAGCTCTGTGTCCTCTAGCCCTCCGAAACCACGGTACACTTGTTGAGCACTGGCCATGGAGCATTTCTTTAAATACAGAAGAAAGGAGGGCTGGGAGAGGAACCAAAAGTATGGGGGCAGAATGAGCCAAAGTATTGTGGAAAAACTGAGCAGCCAAAAAGCTTCCAGTCTGCTCCCACCAGGCACCTCTGATGCTGAAGAAACATCTGGGAGACTCTCATGTTTGGGGCAGGTCCAGGCTGGTTGGTGGTCTTTGTCATTTCAGCCCAGTGGTTCTCCACGGGGGGCCATTTCACCCCCACCCACCCAGAGGACATTTGTCACTGTCTAGAGACATGCTTTATGGGCACCACTAGAAGTGGGTGAGAAGGAAGCAACTGGCATCTACTGGGTAAAGGCCTGGAATGCAGCTAACTATCCTACAAACTACAGGACAGCCCCCTTGTGACAAAGAATTACCCAGTCCCAAATGATCATTAATGCCAAGGCTGAGAAACCCTGCTCTGATGGTTTTGGGTGAAATCCAGCCCACCTTCCAGTCACGCATTTTCCTGGTGCCATGGTTAAGAGCCATCTCCGGAGTCCTACCGCTTCGGTTTCATAGCCCATCACTTACCACATGTATGACTGGGCCAACCATCCTGTGCCTCAGTTTCCTACTCAATAAAATGGGGATCCCACCGGGTTGCTGTGAGGAGTCAGTGAGAGAAGACATATAAGGCTCTTAGACCAGTGTCTGACCGTGTAAGCGATAAAGGACAATGGTGGCCAGTGTTGTGATTGTTGTGCTCAGGTGCCTGTGGTGGCTGTGCTGGGCTCTGGAGGCGGAACCCGAGCCATGTCTTCCCTGTATGGCAGCCTGGCTGGGCTTCAGGAACTTGGCCTCCTGGACACCGTGACCTACCTCAGTGGGGTCTCTGGGTCTACCTGGTATGTGAGGTGGGGGCGGGGGGCAGAGTAAAGGAGAGCCCTGAGGGAGCGGGAATGTGACCAGTGGTCTGGTGGATTCCCTGAGAGGGGGCTGGGTTCCTGCCACCAAGGGCTCCAAGGGCAGAACGGCCCCACGTTCCCAGGCCTCCTTCAGTGGGTGGGGCAGGGCAGTGGGTACAAGGGATGGAGAAGCGGGGTACCCACAGACACACCCATCACTCTTTCCCCTTGCTGGGTCCCCTTGCCCCACTGCCCCTAATGTGCTCTCTATATCCAGGTGCATCTCCACACTGTACCAGGACCCAGCCTGGTCCCAGGTGGCCCTGCAGGGCCCCATTGAGCGTACCCAGGCTCGGGTCTGCAGCAGTAAGATGGGGGCAATGTCCCCGGAGCGTTTACAGTACTATGCCCAGGAGCTGGCAAGCCTGGAGGGCAGCGGCCACAGTGTTTCCCTCATTGACCTCTGGGGTCTCCTCATTGAGTATTTCCTCTACCAGGCGGTAAGAGAAGAGCATATAACAAATATACCTGGCTCCTTCCCAGCCCGCCCCACCAGCACACCCTTCTGCCTTCGTGGCTAGGCTGAGACAGAAGGTTTCAAAGCCAGCCCTTAGGTCTGAGCTCCCCGAGGATGAGAGGCAAGACCCCTGGGCAGGCTGACCGCGCTTCCTCTTTCCTGGCCCCTAACCTCTGGGAAGGGAGAGGTGGGTCAGCAGTTTTCGGGTCTGTCTGCATATTCAAATCACCTGCACAGGTTCTCAAAAACGCTCAGCCCTTGGCTCCACTTCTGGAGGTACTGATGGGGGTCAGTCTGGGTTTGAGCACTAGCACACCTGCGTTTTGAAAGTATCCAAAGTGTTCTAACCTGTGGGCTAGGCTGGCTGCCACTCCTGCCCATTGGCCAAGCCGCCTGCTGCTGGTAGGGCTGTAAGCCCGGCACAAGCTGGGAGAGGAGAGGAGTCAGAGCTGAGGGAGGGCCTCAGGCCTGGGGGGGGCCTGGCCCACTGGTGTGTGGATATAAATCACAAGTGATTTCTCATGTCTAAGAAAAGAATCCATCCATATTTCTGAATGATTTATTTTTTTAAAGAAAGTAAACTGGATTTTTTTTTAGTATTTCCTTTAAAAAAGCTCACTGATATGCTTTCTGAAACAGCAAAGAAGTGGGGAGAGTGTTCCCAGTGCCCCTGGAATTGTACAAAACTCACAGCAGCCTTACCTGCACTGCAGCCTAAAGCCTGGCCCTCAGAGAGCTATCTCTAGAACACTGGCCTTGGCAGCCCCAGTCTCTGGTGGGCACGCTGTCCCTTGCAGGGTATCGGGCCTTAGGCCATGGGAATGGGGGAAGGGAACTCCCCAAAAGCCAAGTGCCTCCCCTCCTGCCTGCCAGGAAAACTCCGCCAGGCTGTCTGACCAGCAGGAGGCCATCAGCCAGGGCCAGAACCCTTATCCCATCTACGCCAGCATCAATGTCCGCACCAACATCAGCGGGGAAGACTTTGCAGGTGCCTGGGTGCGGGGAACCGGGAAGAAGGTGGAGGCGGTGGTTGCTAGAGGGCGTGAGAGGCCAGTGCTAGGAATGTGCAGACGTGAGCCCTGGAGCCCAGTGGGCTTGCTGCCTCCTTAGACTCTTAGCAAGTCTAGTTCCTGCTCAGGCACTCAGGTGTGAGGGGAAACCTTGGGGTCCTGGTGGAAGTCCCCGGGTAACATTCCTTTCTCTCTGGGCCCCCAGAGTGGTGTGAGTTCACCCCCTATGAGGTCGGCTTCCCCAAATATGGGGCTTATGTTCCCACTGAGCTCTTTGGTTCTGAGTTCTTCATGGGGCGTCTGCTGCAGCCCCGGCAAGAGCCCCGGATCTGCTACCTACAGGGTGAGTCTGGGCTGGAGGGCTGGGGACAGGGCAGGGCCGGGCTAGGCCCTCAGATGGGCTGCAGCTGTGAGGGCCCAGGGCCTCGCCTTTCCCCTTAGGTATGTGGGGCAGTGCCTTTGCAGCCAGCATGGATGAGATCTTCCTGAAGATGGCTGGCTCCGGCCTCAGCTTCCTAGATGGGCACAGAGGGAAAGTAAACATCACAGGTAAGGGTAGACACCCTTGCTCTCCCCACACTTCTCTTTCTGGCCCCAGGGACCTGGCTGAGGCTCAGAGGATGAGGGAAGGGATGGTTCAGGAGTTGGCTATCTCACTGGGTTCAGAGAAGTCCTGAGGGGATGACTTCTAGCTCAGGGTCTCCAGCCGCCCAGAGGCCTGCGGAGACAGTGAGCCTTCGGGTCTGGGGGAAGGCCCGTGTCAGAAACGCCAGCGGGAGGGATGCCTGGGTTGCTCAATTGGTTAAACATCTGCCTTTGGCTCAGGTCATGATCCATGGGTCTTGGGATCGAGTCCCACGTCGGGTTTCCTGCTCAGTGGGGAGCCCGCTTCTCCCTCTGCCTGCCACTCCCCCTGCTTGTACACTCTTCCTCTCTCTGACAAATAAATAAAATCTTTTAAAATATATATTAAAAAAAAAAAAAAGCCAGTGGGAGTTGTGAGTGCTCTATGATAAGACCGTAGCTTAGAATTCTCTGCTTGGGTTCCAATGATGTCGATTCAGCCCAGTCCATACCCCTCGGGGTTCCCTTGGGCCTCCTCTTGGGCCTGCTTCTTAAGTGTCCTGTGAGCTCCCTGATGCACAAAATACCCTATCCACCTTTCTTCCCTGGATAATGTCTATCCATCTCGTAAGATCTACCTCAGACCTCATTTTGCCAGGGGCTTCTCTATTCTCCTCCATGCCTCCAGGCTGACCGAGGGTCTTACCACCAGAGTCCTGTAGCCCTGTGTACACCCTCCATCATTACCCTTGTCTTGAGGCATTGCTACAATTTATGATCTCTTTATGTGCCTCTCCCCTAAGTAGGCCATGAGCCCTAGGGGGCCGGGGCCAGGCCCTATTCACCTTCCCATCCCCCATTCCTCACACAGTGCCCAGCACACGGTACTCCTCAGTGGGTATTTAATGGGCGAAATTCTGATTAGAAGTTGTATGCTCAATTTCATTTTCGAAAGGGGGAAATAAAGGATCACTTAATAAATACAATGCCATAGGCAACTTTGAAAATAGAGGCAACCTGAAAGAAAAAGGTCATTTAAAAGAGGTTCTGGGAAGCAATGGTCTGAGGCTTAGGAGCTGGGGGGAAGGAGGGGTGAAAGTGAGGAGGAGATAAAGGGGGTCCGCTGAGCTATGAGGGCCACTGGACAAAGGAGGGCCCCACTTCTCACTGTATTTCACCCTCCCAACCCCATCTAGATGACTGCCAGAAGCTCCAGCTACATGACCCCACATGTCTGCGAACCAGGCTCTTCACCCCCCAGGGTCCCTTCTCCCAGGCTATGCTGGACATATTCACCTCCCGCTTTACCTCCGCGGAGAACTTTAATTTCACCAGGGGCCTCTGCCTACACAAAGACTATGTCGTTGGCCAGGAGTTCACAGCCTGGAAAGGTGGGTGCTGCTCTGGGTGGGGAGCCCCCGCCGCCTGGGGCCCGCGCTGCCCTTTCCCCTAGGGACTGGGCTGTGGGCTCCTGCTGCCCAGTGGCTGAGGGGGAAGGACTGGGATGTCTGTGAGGACGCAGGGCCAGGGGCTGGGGTGGGAGACTCTGGTGCCATCAGAAGCAGTGGAGGAGAGATCTCTACAGAGAGGGGCCATCCCAGTGTGAAGAGAAGAGCAAGCAAGCATCTGTCCATGTTGCAGCCACGCACCCTGACGCCTTTCCCAACCAGCTCACTCCCATGCGGGACTGCCTGTGCCTGGTGGATGGGGGCTTTGCCATCAACTCTCCCTTCCCCCTGAACCTGCTGCCCCAGAGAGCGGTAGACCTCATTCTGTCCTTTGACTACTCCCTGGAAGCCCCTTTTGAGGTAAAGTGTGTGGTGGGGAGGAATTGAGGTTCTCCGTGGAGGAGGCCTGCCTGGGCATTTCGGGATTGCCCTTTGTGCGGGACCTGCGTTCCAATCTGCAGGCCAGTACTTTGTGAAAATTTTAGTGATACTGGTCTCCCCAGCTGGAGGAGGGGGATTGCTGAGGCCATGGGATGGAGTGGGATTCAGGAGAAGAGGCATTCTTAGCTCCTGTCTGGACCTGTGTTGGGGTCTGCTGTCCCTTAGTTACTGTGGTAACAACAGAGCCATCAGCTTCCCAGGGGCGCCTCCAGTGGCAGCTCCCTCAAGCCCTGTGGGGTAGCAGACAGGTTCCATCATCTGGATGAGGGTTCAGGTTGGGCTGCTGGCTTCCTTCTCCTCCTTATCCTCCTGGGTCTAAGGAGAGCCTGGGATTAGACAATGGATAAAGCCTCTTCCCATGGGACCTTCTGTAAGCATTCCATCTCCACCTGGTGACATTGAAATCAGCCCCTAAGAGGGAGGAAGAAGAAGGAAAGCAGTAGGTGGTTACGGGAGAAAGGACCGTGAGGACGTTGTCATTGGTCTGCACAACCACCCCACTAGAGTTAGTCTGATTTCATTTTGTAAACAAAGAAACAGGCTCGGAGAGGCCAGGTCACCTGCCTGTAGTCATTCAGCCAGCAGAGGGCTGCGTGAGCACAGGTGGTAGGAAGCGGGGTCAGAAGCTGGCCTTCCTCCCAGGTCTTACAGATGACAGAGCAGTACTGTCTGGACCGAGGCATCCCCTTCCCAAGGATTGAGGTGCTCCCTGAGGACTTGGAGGAGCCCCGAGAGTGCTACTTGTTTACCAAGGCTGAGGACCCCCGCTCACCCACTGTGCTGCACTTCCCCCTTGTCAACCGGACCTTCCGTACACACCTGGCCCCAGGTGAGGGGAGCCCCTGAGCTGGGGTCTGGTGGTGGGGTGTTGTGCTGAGAGCAGACTTCTGGGACAGTGTCCCAAAGCATGCCTCTCGGAGGGCCCGAGCCGGCCACTGCTGCCTTCTGCTTCCGGGGCCTCAACATTCACACCGGCCCAGCTCCTCCTGATGGTCGGGAGAGACAGGAAATGTGGATCCAGCCAGGTCTCGTAGGGCCCGAGGGGAGAAGCTTCTGGGCTGGCAGCTCCTAGCCCCAGAGCGCCCCCAGTATGGCCTTCACTCCACTTCCCACCCACAGGTATGGAGCGACAAACAGCTGAGGAGAAGGCCTTCGGGGACTTTGTCATCAACGGGTCAGACACTCCCTATGGCATGATGAACTTCACCTATGAGCCCGAGGAGTTTGAGAGGCTGGTGGCTCTTAGTCGATACAATGTTCTAAACAACGCGGAGACCCTGAGGCATGCCCTCCGGCTGGCTCTAGAACAGCGGCAGGCTGGGGACAGGGCTGGGGCCTGACAGGGCTGGAAGGGAGGATCATGAGAGAGGGGAGCGACCCTGGGCTTCAGATCAGGGCTGGAGAGAGAGGAGTGGTAGACCATGAGGGGCTCCTGCTTCCCATATTACAGGGACCTGCTTTAGGCCCTCCAGGCCCCAGAAATCTCCTGCCAAACGGCAGCTTAGCTTTGGGGCTGGGCCCTCCTCATAGGTGTTTCTGGGTGATGATGGCTCTGTATGTCTCTCTGGGGCTCTTGGGAATGTGGGACAGAGGTGAGCAGTGCTCATTTTGCACTGGAGTGTAGAGGGGATCAGGCAACAGTCTAGCCCCAGAGCCTGCCCCGAACCTAGAAGGACCTTAGAGGGCCCAGGTCTTCAGACCCTCACCAGACCGGGAGCTGTGAGTGCTGAGGCCCAGGTTCCTCTCCTTAAGCTGAGACCGAAAGCAAAGATTCCTCCATCTAACCCACACTTTTGCAAATGGTCAGGCTCCTGGATGCAGGGCTTGTGCTATTATGAATAAATAATTATTATGAATAAAGCCTCCCGGGCTGCCAGTTTGGATCCCTAACTCCATCCTTCAGCCTGCTGAGTCTCCTTTGCCTCCAGCTTCCCTGTCCCCCTCTCTGCTTGCCATCCGTCTTTGCTTAGCCTCCTGAAGGCTGGGGGATAGTACCCCATCCTGGCGGGGCTGATAGGTGTGTCTCCCTGTTAGTTACTGATGCTTCAGTCTTCAGACTTGGGCCACACTCTCACTTTGTGTACACAGCTGCCACTTCCTCCAAATAGGCTCGCCATTCCCAGAGGCTCACTGGGTGTGTTTGGAGGGTATGTTCGTAGAAGAGGGAGCAGAGGAAGTGTGTGCCTTAAGTGTGTGTGTGTTCCTAGTGAGGGTGGGGCGGGTGAGCACCTGTCTCTTGGCCAGGGTGGGGCAGTGATAGAGGGCGCCTGGCTGGGAACTCAGAGGCCTGGGTTCCTGCCTCTTCCATGGACACATGCTATGGGCTGCAGCCTTCCTCCTCCATCCTCTCTAGGGCAAAAGTCACAGTTGCTCTTTCAGTCAGGGACACCTATTAGAGGAAGCCACACCCATCCCGACTCTAGGAAGAAAATCCTTATTCTGGCTCCCAGCTGGGAGGAAGGTAGTTAGATCTCAGCCTGTATCCCCAGCCTGGCCTGACCTGGGACCACCAGGCCTCCAGCTGGACATGAGCAGGAGGGCTGAAGGAGCCAGGCCTCAGAAGGGCCAGTGCATTGGGCTGGAATGGAGTGGGGGGCAGTTTTGTTCTCTCCTACCTCCTCACCATCACTGCCCATCAGAGGCTACCATTGCTATCTTGGCTCAGCAATGAGAGGTTTCCTTTGGGGTAGCCCCAGGCTGGCCCCTGAGCTCCCGCTATGGCCCCTGTCATCACCCCTGTTGTGATGACATCATCAGTAACTTATTAAACCCCCACAGAGTTCATAACTTAGGACTTTGTAGAGTTCTTAGAACTTGGAGCTCGAAGAGTTCTGAGTACTTAGATCTTCGTTGAGCTCAAAACTTAGAACCTTCAGTCAGTCTGCCTTTAATGCCTCAGATAGCCGCAGGCTGTCTCTGGCTCCCAGGGAGTAGAGATTTCTGTTTTGTTTGCTGCTGTATTGTTAGTATTTAGAGCAGTGGCTGGCAGGTAGTAGATGCTCAACAAATATTTGAAAATACATGAATGGGATCCTACACTCTAAAGGGATGGATCATTAACCCCCAACCATGAGAAGATGTACATCACTGTCCTCCAGTTGTTCTTAACCCATTTGGACCTTTTGGAAAAGCTGAGAGCCATGGACCCACTCCCAAGAAAATGCACACACATATGCAAAATTGCCTACAATGAGATCTCTATTTCACTATGTGATCAGCACCCTGGGGCTGGGGCTAGTGTTTGCTCTCCCAGGCCAGCAGGTTTTATGGAGAAAGCAGGCACGTGGGCTTATACAGAGATGGGAGGTACCTTGATTCACACAGAGGTGTAGAAAATGCCACCTTCTCTCAGATTAGGTTCAGGAAGACGTAATAAGATGAGGGTGGGAGAGACTGGTCAGCTGGGGCAGGGGTGAGCTCAGCCAGGGAATGAGGAACCATCACCAGGATTGACTCTGGGAGCCAACCAGATGGAGGAGTTGGGGCTCAAAGATGATCTGGCCAATTTGGCTCCTGCTCCGAGGTGAAGAGGGACCTAAGTCTATTTCTACTACATTTCTGCCCCATTTCCAACCCTGGCGCAAGGGCCAGAAACATGTTTCAAGGTCCCAAGGGTGACCAGGTTGGAGGGATCGGGCCCCCATGAACACGGCTACAGGCTTGATTCGCTCTGAGGCTGGGCAGAAACACAGGAGCAGGGATGTCATTCCTTAACTTCTCAGACCCTCTCAGCAGGCAAAGGAAGAAAAGGGTGGCCACCAAGGCTGCCATGTACAGTTGCACAGGTTGTATACTATACAATTCCAGGGGGTGCCATTCATACAAAGTGAGGATATGAACTTGCTCCGTGGGGTTGTACCATGTGGCAGCTCTGGGCCCACAGTCTTAGCTCAAGGTGTGTGAGAACAAACACTGGTTTAAATATTAGGCATCCTGGTTTCTTCAGATCTCTGGGCATTCACAAGAGTCTCTTGCAGAAAAAAAGAAAGAGGTGCCAGGCAGATATGGGAGTAGGGGGAGGGAAAGGAAGAAAGAAGGAAGGAAAAGGAGAGACAGAGAAGAAAGAGAATCATTTTCTTCTTTCATCGGCTGGCACAGCACTGGGAGGGGGCCTCTGGTGTTGGCAGGTGGCCTCTTGGTGTAGATGCCCCTGACCTTCTCCAGAGCTCAGTCCCTGCAGCTAATTACCTCATTGCTGCTCCATTCTTTTGCTCAGAGTTGACATGAAAACTCCCTCATTTCAGATGGATTCATTGTTGGAGAGTAGGGAAGGAGGATTACTTGCATTACCCGGCATGCATCTGCTTTCCCCCCAGTCCCCACACTATAAGCAGTTGAAAATCCACAGGAACACAGAACAGGGCAGGGAGTCCAGGACTCTTCCCCACACAGCAGAGAGGGGTCTACGCTGGGGCTGTCCTGTGAGTCAGGGAGTCTGGTCACCAGAGTTCCTTTTTTTTTTTTTTTTTCCTATTAGGACAAATGAGGCACAGGAAATACTAAGCAAGTAAGAGCCCCACACATATTAAAAAATTTTTACTTTATGGGGTGCCTGGGTGGCTCAGTTGGTTGAGTGTCTGACTCTTGGTTTTGGCTCAGGTCATGGTCTTGGGGTTATGGGATCAAGCCCAGCATTGGGTTCTGCGTTCAGTGGGGAGTCTGCTGGAGATCCTCCCTCTCCCTCTGCTCCCCCTCCACCCATGCATGCACTCTCTCTAAAATAAATTAATAAACCTTAAAAAAATAAAAACCTTTTACTTTAGTCAGATTTTGGTTTTGAAAAAATATATGCAATAGAAGTCCATTTAATTAGACTTTCTAAAAGTCTAATTGCTAATCCCAGGTGGCAAGCTTTGGGAAAGTGAGTGATAAAAGGGGGCAAGGTTGGGGGAAAAGTCAGAGAAAGATGGAGGAAAAAATGAGTCAGGAAGAGGGGCAGTGGAGGGGAGGGGGTGAGTAGGCAGGCGGTGGAAGGGAGATGGAACAATTGCTTTTTAGATAGGCTTTGGTTGCTTAGCTGGTGTTTGCAAGTCTTCTGTGGCTCTTTATTCTTTGAGCTCAGAGTAGTGGTCTCTGCTCTGTAATATGGCCGCACAGCAGAATCACCTAGGGAATTTAAACAGTACAGATGTCTAAGCTGGGTCTGCTCTGGTCTCCTGCAGGCCATGTGCCCTGTTCTACCCACCCCCATGCAGTCCTCTGGACCTGGGCTGAGGGCGCTAACCAAGGCCCAGATACCCCTTTATCTCTGGTTCAGGCAGGTGCCACCTAAGCCTCCTGTTTCTTGCTTTCTGATTCAATTCTCTTTCTTCCACTATCCCCCTCTGCTAGTATGAAAGTTCTGCAATTTCTGGAGTGCTGATGGTTTTCCTTGTCAATTTTAGTAGAAGTGTGATTTATAAATTGTGGGAGACCACAGTAAGGCTTGAGACGAGGACCAAACCAGGCCCTGACTTGTGCCTCCTTTAAAGGCGGAATAGCAGAACAAAAGGCTTGGGTCGATAAAGTCGAGTAGCACTGAGAAAGGGTCTGTGCTACGTGTTGCGCGCTCGCCTACGTGACTTCCCACACGTTTGCTGGTCAGATAGAGACGATTTGGCCGGGGTCAGAAATTCTTGGCTGGTCCTTGCTGTCCTTGCATGGGCTATAGACTACATCATTGCAAGACTGTGCTGTGCTTACATAAACTATGTCTTGAGTGGCCTTGAAGTCAGTACATCTGGCGCTAGAGGGTCTGCTCTTGGTGCTTGGGAAATAGAGAATGGGAAAGCTTGAAGGATTTTCTGTGCATGTTGCAAACTCTTTAGTAATCAGCTAAAAATAGATACTTTCTTATGATTGTTTCTGTTAGCTCTATAATGCCTTGCTGCCTTGAATAAAATTGGCACTATTGGACATTCTCCTTTGGTGCTCCTCCTGCCCCCATCTCTTTGTCTCTTAATTTCTTTTCACCATCCTCTTTGCCTCTTGACCCTGGTCGATTTGTCGTGCGGGCTGCGACAATAAATAATATAATGCACCCATTCTAAGTATACAGTAAATGTATAAAATTAAGTGGTGTACAGTTTGGGGCACCTCAGTGGCTCCATTGGTTGGACAGCTGACTCTTGATTTCGACTTGGGTCATGATCTCACGGTCATGAAATTGAGCCCTGCCAGGCTCCACGCTCAGTGGCGGTGGGGGAGTCTTCTCTCCCTCTGACCCCTGCCCCCAGCTTATGCACTCTCACTCTCTCTCAAATAAATAAATCTTAAAAAAAAAAAAGATTAAGTGTACAGTTTAATGAATTTTAGCAAATTTATGTACACATGTAACCATCACCACAGTCAAGATAGGGAATATTTCCATCACCCCAAAATGTTCTCTTGGGTTGCATCCCAATTAATCTCACACCCGTGGTCCCAGTGCCTACTGATCTGCTTTTTGTCATTATAGACCAGCTTCTTCCCTTCCAGAATTTTATTTAAATGTAATCATATAATGTGTACTCTTTGGGTCAGGTCTCTGCCACTCAATATAGTGCTTTTGAGATTCATCCATGCTCTTGTGTGTACTAGTGGTTTCTTTCTTTTTATTGCTAAGTTGGAATTTTGTGGGTATACCACAGATTGCTTATCCATTCACCTGCAAATGGAAATATGGGTTATTTCCAGTTTAGGGCTCTCATTAAGCATTTATCTTTAAAAAAAAAAAAATATATATATATATATATACATATATATATATTTAAGGTTTTATTTATTTATTTGACAGAGAGAGCACAAGCATGGAAAGCGGCAGGCAGAGGGAGAGGGAGAAGCATGCTCCCCACTGAGCAAGGAGCCTGACTTTGGGCTCAACTCCAGGACCCTGGGATCAT